TAACTGCCTTAAACTCTTGACCAGCAACCGAAACCCAATAAACAGCAACCGGAACTCTTGTATTCAGCAACCAAAACCCTCAACCAATAATCCTTCTGACGCGATGATACTATTTCGAAAGAGCTAGCAAGATAGATTGACGAGCTAGATCCCCAGATGCACCTAGTAAAGCGGGGCAATCCGTGAACCTGCCAAATACAAAAACAGAGATATAAATACTAAACAGAAATTAATAGAATCAGGGAAAATCATGAGTAAGAAAAGTAGTCCATGTGCATAATTGTATAGGTATCATTTTCGCCATACGGCCCAGAGTCGAAAATCCAGGTCCAGATGACTGGTATTGCGTGTATTGGTGTCAATGACCTGTGTAAATCTTCTGTGTTCGCGACCATCTAGTTTTGCTTGTGAAGTATCCCTCGATCTTGAGTAGGATAAGTGGATAGCTCTGCTTCCCAGCTTTCAATTGATACCCGTAACTCGTATCTTGTGCGTATGGCCTCAGCGGTGGTTGTCCCAACTCTCCTGGCGCATTTCCAATGTTCAGATGATCAGTTCCTCGACAGTGTTTTAGAGTCGCCGTTGATCGCAGGTCCAGGCCCCAATCAATTGAGTAGGTTTTCGCCGTTTAACCGTCCCTTGGCACTCTCGATCCTCCAGCAAGATCCGAAACCACATTCCAATGATGTCAGTCGTCGATACCAACAGAGATAGGGGTGTCCCTTATCTAGGAGAAGTCAATCTCGAGTCTCCACTGCGTGCCAAATCGAATATGCCTTTTAATATACACTCCCTTTAGGTATTTTGCATAGAATTGGATAGATTCTAGCAAGAAACAGGCTCTGCGAACTTTTCCTAGTCAAGATTTTGGAATCACTAAGAGCGATTTGATAGATTTTAACTGGATTTTGACTGGTTCTTGTGCAGGTAACTCCCTAGTTGACCATTCGGGACTCATGTCAACTCCGAGACGTGCGCTGAGCAACAAAATCGACAAAAATAGTCGTTTCCTGGTCTGTCCCAGACTGCGGCTTATCACCGCATCTAGTGGTCCCCAGCCTCTAACTCCCATAGCCACCCCTTTCCGGGAGTCACCATCAGAGATCACTAATGCCATCAGAGACCTCTCCAGATGTGGACGCACCACTTTCCTCCGAGACCTTGAGCCTATGGCCTTATAGCCTCTTTGGGCTGTTGCTCATCAAGGTCTCCCTGCAACCTCTACCCGTTGGACCTCTTGGGTGTTCCAAATCTACGTCAGTGTTCGGGCTTACGTTTGGATGGCTGAGCCTTGCCATGGCTCCGCCCCTCCACTCCGCCACCACGGCCCCTGTCATCGGGTCTTCCTTTGGGTGAGGCCTACTACCGTTAAGGCTCGTGCCTACTGCAGTGCCCCAGGCTGCACGCCTTCACACCTCCACCTCTCTGGAGATGTCCGGGGATGTCTCCGAGTGACCCTCCTGTCGCTACCCTCCAGTGGTCATGGCTGGCCGCCATTCCCATTGGTCCTTTCCGACACTCCCCGGCCCTTGGACTAGACCGACTCCTTCCCTCTCCGCTCCATGCCCCTCCCTCTCCGTTTCCGGCTGTCACGTCACGGTCACACACCCGGAATCGATTCCGATTCCGATTCCGGTTGTCACGGTCACGGTCACAAGCGGAGACGCCCAGAGGCAGTCTGGACCCCCCGAAGCCCTTCCTGGGCTTTCTAAGGATACCTGGGCTCTTCCCTTGGCATCATGGTCCCAAACCTGCCTCTCCGGAGCTTCAAGGGCTACTCGACACTCACCTAGGGTCCATTAGCGACACCTGACTTCTCCCATGTGTCGTTCGTCGCTATGCAGTCACTTTATCATTACTCCGGTCACTAGTATATAGTAGTGCACCTGAGCAGAGGGCTCCTTGGCTTGTTCTCTAAGGATTCCCCCTCTGCTCAGGACTCTGATTTCAAGCCTCGCGAGGTTGCCCTTACAGCCATGTTGTAAGCCAGGTTCCAGGGGGATCTCCAAGGTGGGGCGGCGATGCACCTGATGGAGGCGGTGATGCCATCACCAGAAACAGAATTGGGCCAGAGATATCTCTGAGGGTCACCAACTATATACTAGTCATCCATAACTATTGCTGTTGAGCACAGAGTTAGCGCAGAAGGCCTGGGCAGTGTGAGTGTCTGAGTTAGTGATTTTATTCCAAGGCGACTATTGGGAGGTTCTTGACAGATCAATGATAGTACAGACAGTAGAGGCTGTGGAGAATGGTCAGGTTAGGTTGGAGCATCTGAGGGGGTGCAAGCTGGGTGTGCCTTGGATGCAGTCGGATAGTCCGAGAGAAGGGAAAGTGGAGGTTTCCCTGACACCCCAGAGTGAATATGCTAATTAGCTTTTTTTAAAAAAAAATGCCATATATGTCTGATTTGTATATGTTAGATAAGTCTATATCCCTAGCTCTGATCTGTGACTCTCTCCTTCTCAGACTTCCCTATTAAAGCTTGGCTTAAGTGCTGACTTGAAGATATAAGTACTAGACAAAACCTGATCATAACTTGAGAAATATATTCAGTATATAGTAAGGTTTGGCCAACCACTGTGACTGAAAAAAAAATTGAGGTGGGTGTGACATGTGACCGACTAATTGATTGAAATAGTACAGTATATAAATGTTAGGCTTTGGGTCAGGCCGTGCAAGGCTTCTCCTAAGAACGTGCACCCAGAACAGAACAGATGAATTGTTGGGCCTGCATGCAGAGCGAGCGGGGGGGTCAAATCGAACTAAAAGGGCCCGTTAATGCAGTCTCTTGTTGAAGTCAGGGTTAGGGTTGAATCAGGTCATTTAGGGCCTGATGAGTCAGTGATGCATCCTATTACAGAGAGAAGCAGTACAATAGATAATCTCAGTGATAGAATACAGTGTACACTATTGCGCCTTATATATGCAGGCTCACTGAGAGATGATCAGACACCCTTGGCCTCTCCTGCTCCTTCTTGTCCCTGTTCCTAGCCGCAGAGGGGATGATTGTACATCCCTTGCAGGCCAGGTGCTACTCCTAGCTTCCTAGCACTCCTCCCCAATCCTCTTGTGTTGCGAGTTGGGCTTGACAACAACTTGATATGTCGTTCTTGGTCACGTGCTTATAGGGCTCCAACCATTTCTGTGTACAAACATTTTGCACACTGAAACGCAAGAATACAGAACACACAGACAACAAACTCTAACACAACACATACAAAAATCAGCACACAAACACAATAGAATACAAAACCAGGGAGCCTAATACCAAAACACATGGGCCAAGTCTCAGATCACTCAGATCAGACCATATCAGAAGCGGATCACGTCGGAGTTTGAAGTGGGTGGGTAGTTTACTGATGCACGCAAGTACGGGCATTCCAGCTAAAGTATATAGCTGTTGCAATCCAGAAAAACATGTTTAACGACTCAGAACAATAGGGTTGGGGTGATTAAGTAAGCGAAACAACACGCGGGACCAAATCAACAGCGGGTGGGGCGGCGGGCGGGTACTTGGAACAACAGGAGTCACAGGACACAATGACAGAGGTTCTCCAATACAAATAGCGATAGCGGACACGACAATAGCAAACAAAACCCGTACAGAGCCTGACACTTGAATTCTCTGTCCTCTAGTCTACAAAAGCTGCTAATTTATACCTCTAGGCACACTGCATCCCCACTGTCTTCCAGCCTGCGCAGTCCACTATCTGGCCAGTGCGCACAGTGTGTACAGTGCGACCTCTAACTCGTCTCGCCCTTCTGCTTACTCAATTCCGCTTACGAGCTAGGGCCGCTTGGTCCACCAGCATTGGCGGTGTTCTGGACATGTTTCGACGTGGCTATGCCAGTGGTTCAAGCTCCGGATGCCCTCTGGCGTCGTCACAACTGGCTGGACGTGTCCCCAAGGCCCCCAGGGCCTCCACTAGCTCGCTCATCCTTTGGAGTGGAACCGAGCTCGGTGCGGCTATCAGACCGGATGTCATCCCAATCGGGAAACACCGCCCCGGACTGGTGCTTGCCAGTCAAGATGGTGCATGCCCGATCGCTGTGGCTATGGGCGGGCTGTGGGGCCTGATCCCAAGCTTGTACGAATCTTGCATGCTTTATCATAGTTATAACCATTTTTATTTTCATTTAGTTTACCAGGATGTCTAAATAGTAAATAAATGAAAACAAATGGTTTAAATAGTTATTATCTCAGATGATCAAATATGGGCAAATAATTGTACTGCTGCTGGGAAGTATGTTTAACTTGAAAACAAATCCTCATATTTAACATGATATTCTTTTGTGGTGGGTTTTGGAAAGTCTACCATCCATTACAAGAAATTGATGACAACAATATGACACTAAACTAGTTGAAGTTCAAGCATTTCACTTACTCCAAGCTTCAAATACTATAACAGAGGACAGAATGTGATCATTGTAGGTAAATGGACCATGTAAAACTTGTGTCTAAGTCCATAGAAATGTCACTGATTTTATTGTATTAAATTACCATTTTTAACTGTTTTTAACTGGTAATAACTGTTTATAAACCATTTTCTACCCTTTCCCTTTTGTTTAGCTGGGGTTGTAAAGGAAAACTAAATAATTGGAGCCCTATGTGCTTGTGTGCATTCCTCCTACTGGAGCACCTGTTCCCCATTGTCATGTGCTGCGTGTTGCAGGCCCTCGGTGGCCCGACAGCAGCACCGGAGCGGATAGGTCAGGTCTTATCCCTGACAATAAATCATCTACCTAATCCGGCAATTAAGTATTGTCATGGTTGGTTGATCCCCTGGTAAGCTCTTGAACTTGTTTTTTATGTGTGTATTCTTAAATACATTATATTTCTCCCCCTTGGCAACCTATTAAGAAGCAGAAGTAGTCCAATCAACAGTCCATTGTATAGTAATGTGCAGAAAGCTTAAGATACATACCATCAATTTCTGATTGAATCAATTGTTCTTGACTCCCCTTCAGTCTACTGTCAGGGATACTACTTATTGGTGTTACAGATTGATTGATATTCCAGGTAAAAGTAAAACACCGCAATGTAGCAATTCTAACTTCGCTTCCGCAACGGCATCGCTCCAGTCAGCTGCAGGAATGTGTGCTTCTACTTTGACCAAGAAGCTCCGGGTTTCACCATCGGAGGTTCTTGGTATGGTTTCCGTTTGCAGCCGTACACGAGAACGAACCATTTGGAGGAATAGCGCACCTCCATCGCTCATCACTTCCCTCGTCGTCAATCCAATCCAGAGATAAGTCAACCTCGGCAGGATGTTGTTTGACCGGTTGGGCAGCCATATCAGGCTTCTCACCAATGCTTCGTCGTTGAGTATTGGCAGGCGAAGCTCTTCTATTGTGCTGTCATGCGTGAAGAGAATGCGCAACACACTCTGGGTGCTTGTTGGGTCCAAGTGGCAGAAGTCTAGTACCCGCAGTTTTGTCAGGCCGGAGTTGGCCTTGAGGGATGCAAAATTTTCGGGATCCCAGTGGGCGTTGTCGGCGACAAGCTCTTGGACACCGGGAACGGCCAAGAAAGGCAATATCATGGTGGAATTGTTGTTGAGGACAAGGGTTTTGACAGCAGGAAGATGGCACACAGGATAAGTTGATGCGAATGGGAAGGGTATGAGCCGCCCAAGCGTTAAATGGGTGACAAGTTGACACCGACGGAGGATATTGAGGAGTAACGGCATTGGCCATGAGCCAACCCAATCGGCGGATTCGAAGGCAAGGCCTAGATGGGTAAGCTGACCCCAGGGAAAATACACTGCATATGATGCCGTATCGCCTGGTGGCGGACTCCGAGAGAGCGTCAAATCAAGGCTGGTCAGTAATGGCGCATTGGAGAAGGTTTCAAGAGTATCGCCTCTGTCCATGTTGCGTGCCTGGTAACGGCATAGGTTAAGTGCGAGTGTGGTTAACTGAGTGAAATGTTGCATTGGTTGAAGGAGTTCCGCATAGACAGGCACTGCGCCTGATGGAATCGCGAGCGTTTTCACACCAGCGACAAATCGATCAGACCGAAGGATGGTGTGAAGGACATATGAAGGTGGTCCTTCTCTATCTCGATAGTTCGGAGAGACGGTCGGATTGAGAGTTACGTTCAGAGGGGCTTGTCCGGAGCGTGCCAGCAGATTGCCAGGATCAAAGCTGTCCCTGTATTCATTGGCCCGGAAGGTGAGGTTCGTCCACAGCCTGGGTGAGCCAAGGCAAATTTTTCTCCACCACGAGCATACGTTCAACAAGAGAAGTGGCGCCACTTGGGAATTAGTGGAAAAATAGTCGAGTTTCGCAGAGTCAACGCGGACACATTGCTCGAAGATTTCGGCCATTATCTCAACAGGGAGGCGTCGTATCGGAGACAAGAAAGAAGCCAGGACATAATTGTTGTTCTTGCGCCTTCCTAGAAGGTCTTGCAAATCACGGACGAAGGAAAGTACAGCATCCAGTTCATGCTCTAGCTCAGCTTCATCGGCGAGTCCTTCTCGAAGCAATCCCGATATCTGACTCTGCTGTGCCTGCGAGAGCTGCTCGTAAAGGGACTCCAGCCCGAGAGGGAGTTCCATGCCGATATCTATGCAATCCAGCCTGTGTGGAGAAGCAAAATCTGCCACAACGCACCAGCGGGAAAGTCCATTCAAGTTGTAAATGTACTAGTATCAGGCAAATGTTGGAAGCAGAGACAGAAGACAGGCAATTGCAGCCAACGAGTGGTTGTCGTCAAGCGGCCAAAGATCGGAGTCACACGGTGACAAACAACAGGTTGGTAGAAGACAGTGATTTTTCTGCTTGTTTTCCTACATATGTACCATCTACTAGTGTGAATTATATACCAGCTGTCCGTTCAAGGTCCATACTATATACTATGCCGAAATACATTTCAGTTTTGAGAGCGGGAAAGAGTGTAAATGAGTGATTGTAGTCCGTATAATGCCCAAAACGAAAGCAAAGTCTGAACCAGTACCTCAATGTCGAGGCTGGTCGTGGTACTGATGTTGCGGCGGCAGGTCCGTATACCGCTGGCTAGGGGAGAAGTTGGGCGAGCCCGGACCAGGAGAGGAAGGAGGATGTGAAGGGTGAAGGGCGGCGACTTCAGGAGTTGATAAATCGGCATGGATAGCACCGTATTGAGAGTGGGGATGGTCGTGGAACGTGGCCTCGCTGCCACTTCCCAGACTCCTGTTGTGGCCGTGCATCGGACTCGGCGGGTAATAGTGTTCGTCATATTTGACGTGTTGCTCGTTGTCGGGATGTGTCGCAGTTGCCATGCTGTCGACGCTGAATGCAGAGTTGCGTTTGACAGTGCCAGCCATGAATGGCGCATGGGGCTGTGTTGGATACCACTCTTCCTTCGTCGAAGCAGCGAATGCCGCGTTTTGCTGACGCTTGTTACCGCGACGACGAAGCAAGACCAATAACTAGACTTTGTCAGGTATGACAGTAAGGCAGAAGGAATGGACATACCGCAATGAGAGCAATAGCGCCTACAGCCGACCCAGCTCCAATAGCGATCTTGGTTCCAGTAGAAAGCGAGGAGCTCGAGTTGGTCGCGTTGTTGGTATTACTTGAGCCAGAACCAGAACCAGAACCGGCGCCACCGGAAGAAGACGGGGAGTTCGGGGAAGATGAGGAGGAGCCAACTGCGAAATACTTGGCCTTGATTATGTCCGCTGCGCGTTCAGCAATGCCATAAGTTGTCGCCATCGTATGTGCTGACACATGCAAAGGTGCAATCGAGACATCGACCACACGAAGATTTTTTGTGCCGTAAACGATGAGGCGGGTGTCAACCACCCCGCCACGCTCAAGCGGTAACATCGAGTTGGTACCAATGGGATGGTATTCCGTGCCAGACGAGCTAGCAATGTAGCCATTGATCGCGTCATCTGTAGCCGGCATTCCTGGTGTAGTCTCCGTTTTGATCATTTCCGACATCGGTGCGGTCGCAATGGTCTTTCGAGTGTACTTGAAGGCAGTACGCATGAGGTCGAGGTCATACGAGACCGAAAGGTAGTTGGGGTTGATCTCGGGGTAGTCGAAAATGGAGGCGGACTTGATGTTAATGTAGCCGCGCGAAAACGGGTGCTGGAGACAGAGCTGAATTCCAATCATGGATGCGGCAGAGCCAAACATGTTGAAAATCATCTCAATTTGGCCGATTGTGGAATCCGCTGCCCAACTAGACAGTATTGAATATTGCGCTTTGAGACCAGCTTGTACGGTGGAGTCCATGGAGGAAGCGGCTGCGGAAGTAGAAAGAGCGGAGTTGGTGTTGATGGAGGAGGCCCAGGGGGATGTGTCAGTACCCATCATGTGGGTAGTCGCAGGATAAGCAGTTGCCTCGTTCCAATAACTCCACATTCCAGTGCCATCTTTCCGCCAAATCGCGAGTTGCTCGTCCCACAACTGCTGGTCAAATTTAAGAGCGGCCCATGTGTCGTTGTCGGTCGCTTGCATATAGAGAGAGGCGGAAACTAGCACCAATCAAACAGCGTGGATGACGCGAAAGAAAGGTACAAACGATGATCTTGCAGATTTTGGCCAACTCCAGGGAGGTCTACGACGCTTTGAATTTCGAGGCCAGCCAGGAGCGACTTTGGGCCAACGCCAGAGACTTGGAGGATTTGTGGAGACCCGATAGTACCGGCACTGAAAAAAAAAAGTAAGCAAGCAATCCAAAACGATTGAATAAATTGCGCACGATAAGATGACTTCCTTGGCGGCATTGACTTGGTAAACAGTTCCGCCAGCATTAGCCGCGAAAGAAACCCCTCCCGCCATCGCAGCACCGGAAGTTGTGGAGTTCCAGTTGATCTTCGTAACTTGGAACCCGGTAAGGATGACAAGGTTTGTCCCAGAATACGGTGCGATATAACCGAAATTAGAGTCGGAACGAGAGCCGTTGTGAGGGTTGATGATCGACGGGACGAATGATACACCGATGTTGTCGCCGTTGGCAGGGTCGAGGGTGTGTGGTAGGCCCATGTTAACCATCGTTGGTACCCATGTCGCGAGGTGGGAGAACTGGTACGAGCTATAGCTGCTCTGGATGGGGCCAGTGGTTCCGTGGGCATTAGAGTCGTGCGTTACAGACAATAACTTCGCGTTGGCTTCCGACATTGGAGTAAAGGTTTCAGCCTAAGATAATTAGATTCTGGGTTTGATAATTTCGGAGACGTTACCTTTTTCATCGAAGCCTGCATCTGTTCCCATCCCCAGTCCTCCGCATTAGCAGCACCATTCTGGAGAGTATTCCAAGCGTCGTATTCTGGAGCGCTTCCTCGACACCAGAAACCGCCATTGGTGGCAGATGAACCACCAAGACCCTTGCCTCGGGGCCACGCTTTTGCTGCATTGCCAGCGTTACTTTGAGTTGTTGTCGTGTAGGCCCAGTCATAAGTTGTTCCCGATACTCCGTTGATGTAGGACATTCCTATATATCACGTCAGCTTTGGCCGCAAACAAGATGAAGAACAAATCGCACCAGGAATCGTAATCCGGTCAGCAAATTCACTCCCATCCGTGCCAGCCTCGATAACAGCGATGGTCGTATTTGTCCACTCTGCCAGCCTCGCTGCAAGCGCCAGCCCTGCAGTTCCTCCTCCGACAATGACAAAGTCAAATGTCTTGCCTGAAACTTGACTAGGGTCGGTGGTCGACCGTTTATGTATTGGTGTTGGCGTTGCAGTTATTAAAGCGACCATGGTGGCTACGATAAACAGTAGAGGGCGCATGGTTTGAGCGAGAAGGAAACGAGTGTCGGTTGAAGGATAATGATGGCAGTATTATAGAGAAGCTGGAGTCGATTATCGGAGCGGAAAGAACAGGTGGATTGCTGAAGGTGAAAACCCTGAAGCTGTCTTTAACTTTTAAGACGAACAGCCCTCGATCAGTACTGCGGGCACATGGCGCCGAAGGAAGGTTTGCCGTCCGAGTAACGACAGGTAAAGGCGGCAGCATCTGGTGGAGAGTTAAGCAGTCATCTCGTTCAGGTAGATGACATAGCAGGAAAATCTCAGAACGGTCTAAACCGACCGATGGTCTATTTTTGAAAATATCCATGCAACATCGCGTGTGAGACTGAAAATCCAGGCGAATTCACGGTCAACCGTATTACAAACAAACAAACAAACAAACCGAGGTGGAGCCTGCGCAGCACCAGGTACCTTGTCATATTCCTATAGCAAACAGTCAAACAAGGCCGTGTCCTGAGAGAGCTTGGCAGAGACTTGACGCCCTAGCTTACTCGGATGTGGCCATATTAGGAGTATCATGATGAAGACTCGCGGAACGTCGCTTGCTGGAGCACATTGCGGTCAACGAAGGCGGATTGACGACAAGTAGAAGACGAACCGAGAAGACATGTACCAAAAGCCACCGAAGAATATAAAGCGTTGCGAATCGCCCGAGGCGTTGACTGTGAAGCCTGCAGATGTTCACCGAATGGCGACAGGCCCGCCCGCTCTCCGCCGCCTGAAGGCCAGTTAAATTTAACGAGGACCAATGTCCATTGAACTTGACATGGCTATGGGGCTCCTCCATCATGCTCGAATTGAGTCACACCGGATTTGGTAAAATATCCCTTGAAGTAGAAACTGTGCTAGATTCTGGTAGAATCTAGAACCAAATCAACCTATGGAGATTTGCCCAAAATATACATTTTTGAAACTGAGAATGATTTTAGTCAAATATATACTAGTTTTAGGCAGTCTGAGATGAAAACTATCTATGGGACTGAAACTATGCCTGAAATGGTTGATATCTGTGCACATATATATGGTCATGATATCACGCACATCAAATGTGGCAAAACTGACAGTGAAACAAAGGATTTCACTGACAGTTTCAGCACAGATGATACAAAGGAAATCAGCAGTGGAGAAATGCACATAGATTCTCTTTGTTTCTATTTACATTTCTCCACTGCTGAAACTGTAGATTTACAGTACAATGAAATCATTGTTGAGATCTCAAATTTATTCATGCCAGAAATTGTGATTAAAACTGTCAGTATATACATTGGAGAAATTGCAAGAGATATTGTATGTATATCAGTGACTTGAGGGTCAACCCTCAAGTTAACCCTCAAGTCAACCCCAAGGGTCTGATCTCCGGGTAGACCCTACAAGTTCAGTCTCCAGCTACATATTTAAATATATAATTAGCATGAATGGGATAACAACTTTGTAATGACTTTACACAAACTTTCTAATAAATGTTACCAGATTGTAGGGACCCTTAATACATGTTACTATTCAGTTTAGACCTATGCTTCAAGGTCAATGGTTGAGTCAGAAAATGCAAATTACTGACCCAACCCTGAGTTTTCAAAACAGTGGTAGGGTCATATCTTAATGAGTTCTTATCCGTTCCTAACATGTTATATATGAGCAGGAAGGTGTTCAATTGGCCTATAAACTGGTATTCAACATAAAGTTCATTGTATACAAAACCACAGACTTTATTACAAAATACATTTTGACTATTAGATTGTTAACCCAATTACTTGATGGTTTCTAAGCTGTTCATCAAAAGTTGAATATGGTCAGAAAGGTATTTCCAAATTCTACAAACTTGATTTCAACCCTGATATGGTTGATTACAAAACCACAGACTTTCACTACAAGTCAAGGTTTATTGAATTGACTTCAAAATCCAAAGTCAACCAAATGACTCCATATTGCACATAGTAGTAGAGCTTCATTGATTGAGTAAGTGTTCAGTTCAAACCTATTCAAAATTTATAATAGTTGACTCACAAAAGGTGAAATACTCCCAAAATATTAGCTTTGTTAGTTTAGGGCTAGCCTGGCTCAAATAGTATTAACACTATATTGTTGTGAATTTCCCCTTCCTGTTCACTGCTTACCACTTAGCACAGGTACAGGTCTGGGTCTGTTTAACTTGACTCAGACCTTGACCCTGACTCTGACCCTGACCTTAACCCTGACTGTCAGGGTTCAGGTTGGGCTGTGCCAGGCTTCTCTTGAGAAACATGTGCCCAGAACAGAATAGATGAATTGTCGGGCCATAAGTATGGCGGGCGGGTTCAAGTCGAACCAAAAGGGCCCATTAAAGTCAGTGTTGGGTCTGACACATCTTTCTTGGTCACGTGCTTTCTATGTGTGCATTCCCCCCTATTAGGGTGTCTGTTCCTGTCATTACATACTGTGTGTTGCGGGCCTTCGGTGGCCTGATACCAGTGCTGGACAGGCCTTACACTTTGAACTTGAATGCGCGTTCGTAGGGTTGAGCACAGGTCCGGGTCTCAGAAGGCTGACCCTGACCCTGACCCTGACTAACCCTGACTCTTCTGGATACGAGTCCAACCGGGTCTGGGTTGACCCACGGGTTGCAGACAGGGAAGCAGAAGATGTATTTGGAACAATAATTTCAACATAATATACATTTTGCTATATGATATTGGCTCAGATATAGTATATGTAGCCTATTCCTCAAGAATTTAATGATATTGAATACAATCTACTCATATGTCACATGTCACTTGAGTGACTTGAGTGACATCTGATTTTTTTTGTCTCTTAAAAAGTCATAAAATCATATTTAGATAGGAAATTATTAAATCACAAAAACTTATTAGACCCTCCAGGTTGATTCAGAAAGGGTCCGGGTTTGGCCGGATTCAAGAATTGGTGTATCCTGACCCTGACAGACCCTATCCTGAAACCCTGCGAGTTGACCCTGACCTCTGCCTCTACCCTACACGGTATTTGGTTCAGTCCAGTTCAGCTTCAAACTGGAAGGCCAAACCGGATGCCGCCATCGCTACATCCTGATCCTCTTCATTGTCCACATTTTACTCTTCCCTGGAAAGCACGAGTGGAGGGTTGAAGTGATAGAGGGTTTCATGTTAGAATGTACAAACGAACTGAGAGAGAGGTATATACCTCATTCATTATATGCATATCTATATGTGCAAGATGAGGGTAGAGTACAAGTCAGGTAGGGTTTGTTAGGTTCAGGGTCAGGGTACACCAACCCTGACCCTGACCCAGAGACCCAGACCTGGTTGGACCTATACACAGAAGGGGCAGGGTTTGTTAAGGTCAGGGTCTGCCTTTCTCTCAAGACCCAGACTCGGCAGCTCTAGTGCCAACAGTAATGTTATTGAAGCTATCATAATCAATATGAAACAGAGGGTAGGTGGTGGGAAAGCAAAGGATACATCAGGCTTTAGATCAATCAGGCCATGCAAGTTTTTTTCTATGAAACATGGACCTGGAATAGAACAGATGCTGAGTCAAGTTGAGTTGTTAGAGCCTAGTGAGTCATTGATGCCTTCTTGTATAGAGAGAAATCAAGTCAACCTTCCCTAATGGAGTCAGGTTTAAGTAGGATCAGGGTCAGGGTCTGGGCAGTCTTGACTTTCCTTATTTCTGCTGTTACCCAAAAAGGTAATGTGGAGCTGAGTGGAGCACCACTGGCAAATGACTCAATGAGCATATGCCTGTAACCCTTGTGTAACACCTCTCTACCAAACATCAATGATAGCCACTCTTGCCACCAGCTCAGCCCTAGGGTCCGTCTGGACCTGCGGGTCAAATCTGGGGTTGAACAGCCAGGTTCAGAAGTTTGTGGGGTAGAGCATAGGTCAGGGTCTCAGGGTCAGAGTCAGGGTTAGTATACCTCTGATTATAACAAACCCTACCTGACTTGTACTCTATCCTCATCTTGTACATATAGATATGCATATGATGAATGAGGTTAGTATATACCTCTCTCAGTTCCTTTGTGCATTCTAACATGAAACCCTGCCACTTCAACCCCCCACTCATGCTTTCTAGAAAAGAGTAAAATGTGGACAATGAAGAGGACCAGGATGGAACACAAGAAGGCTCATAAATACTAATTGTAGTATATAATAATGATTGTTTGAGCTTTTTGAATTGTATCAAATATGACATGAGGGTTAACCTAGATCAAGTCAACCTTACCCAGTAGGGTCAGGGTTAGGTAGGATCAGTTTCACAGATAAGACCTGGCCTGTCCTCTCTGGCACTGGTATCAGGCCACCAAGGGCCCATAACACACAGGATGTAATGACAGGAACAGACACCACAGTAGAGGGAAATGTATATGTGGGAAGCACATGACCAGGAAAGATGTGTTGGGCCTGCGCTGAGCCCAACTTGCAGCATGAAGGAACAGGAAGGAGTGCTAGGATGTTAGGAGTAGTGCCTGGCCTGCAAGGGATGTGCAATCATCTTCTCTGCAGCCAGAGACAGGGATATAGGAAGGAGCAGGAGAGGCCAAGGGTGTCTGATCACCCCTCAGCAGGGCATATATAAGGTATAATAGTATACACTGTACTTTATCGCTTAGATCACCTATTATACTACCTCACCCTATGCAAGGAGACATCACTGAGTCAACACCGACTCATTGGGCCTTGTCGACCTGACCTGACCCTGACACTAACACCCACTTTAACGGGCCCTTTTAGTTTGATTTGAACCTGCCCGCCATACTTGTGGGCCTGACAATTCATCTATTCTGTTCCAGGCACTTGTTCCTCAAGAGGAGTCTTGCATAGCCCAACCTGAACCCTGACAGTCAGGGTCAAGGTCAGGGTCAGAGTCAGGGTCAGGGTCTGAGTCAAATTAAACAGACCCAGACCTGTACCTGTGCTAAGTGGTAAGCAGTGAACAGGAAGGGGAAATTCACAACAATATAGTGTTAATACTATTTGAGCCAGGCTAGCCCTAAACTAACAAAGCTAATATTTTGGGAGTATTTCACCTTTTGTGAGTCAACTATTATAAATTTTGAATAGGTTTGAACTGAACACTTACTCAATCAATGAAGCTCTACTACTATGTGCAATATGGAGTCATTTGGTTGACTTTGGATTTTGAAGTCAATTCAATAAACCTTGACTTGTAGTGAAAGTCTGTGGTTTTGTAATCAACCATATCAGGGTTGAAATCAAGTTTGTAGAATTTGGAAATACCTTTCTGACCATATTCAACTTTTGATGAACAGCTTAGAAACCATCAAGTAATTGGGTTAACAATCTAATAGTCAAAATGTATTTTGTAATAAAGTCTGTGGTTTTGTATACAATGAACTTTATGTTGAATACCAGTTTATAGGCCAATTGAACACCTTCCTGCTCATATATAACATGTTAGGAACGGATAAGAACTCATTAAGATATGACCCTACCACTGTTTTGAAAACTCAGGGTTGGGGCAGTAATTTGCATTTTCTGACTCAACCATTGACCTTGAAGCATAGGTCTAAACTGAATAGTAACATGTATTAAGGGTCCCTACAATCTGGTAACATTTATTAGAAAGTTTGTGTAAAGTCATTACAAAGTTGTTATCCCATTCATGCTAATTATATATTTAAATATGTAGCTGGAGACTGAACTTGTAGGGTCTACCCGGAGATCAGACCCTTGGGGTTGACTTGAGGGTTAACTTGAGGGTTGACCCTCAAGTCACTGATATACATACAATATCTCTTGCAATTTCTCCAATGTATATACTGACAGTTTTAATCACAATTTCTGGCATGAATAAATTTGAGATCTCAACAATGATTTCATTGTACTGTAAATCTACAGTTTCAGCAGTGGAGAAATGTAAATAGAAACAAAGAGAATCTATGTGCATTTCTCCACTGCTGATTTCCTTTGTATCATCTGTGCTGAAACTGTCAGTGAAATCCTTTGTTTCACTGTCAGTTTTGCCACATTTGATGTGCGTGATATCATGACCATATATATGTGCACAGATATCAACCATTTCAGGCATAGTTTCAGTCCCATAGATAGTTTTCATCTCAGACTGCCTAAAACTAGTATATATTTGACTAAAATCATTCTCAGTTTCAAAAATGTATATTTTGGGCAAATCTCCATAGGTTGATTTGGTTCTAGATTCTACCAGAATCTAGCACAGTTTCTACTTCAAGGGATATTTTACCAAATCCGGTGTGAGTACCGGAATTGTGTGTTTGGTGATGGTGAGGAATCGGCACATCACGTGCACCATTCAAGTTTCTGCAGGAATCTTTTTTTCTTACAGTAAGTACTTACAGGCTATGGACGAATTAAGCCAGCTGTCCGTTATCTACTATATACTAAGCTGGGATAAATTTTAATTCTAAGAGAGTGAAAGAGCGAATGAGGGTGGATAACGCCCAGGAGAAAAAGACAAGTCCAGGGGCCTGGTCACCGATGCCGAGGTGACAAGTCCGTATAGCGCTGCCCAGAAGAGAAATCCGGCGATTGGGAAGAGTAAAGGGCAGCAGTCGATGAATCAGCATATTGAGAGTGTGGTGTCGCGTCGTTGCCGCTGTCCAAGCTCCTGCTGTCCTCATGCATGGGACTCGGCGGGTAATAATGCTGGCTATATTTGACTTGCTGCGAGTCGTGCATTGAGGTAGCGATGCTGTCGACGCTGAGTTGAGAAGGCTGCGTCAAGTGGCGGATTTCGGCACCCGCTACAAGACGCGCACGGGGTTGTGTTGGGGACCACAATTTCTTCGCTGAAGTCGCCAACGCCGAATTCTGCTGTCGCTTGTTGCTGTAGCGACGGAGCATGACCAACAACTAAGATTCTTCAGTCCCAACGTCAGAAAAAGAATCATAAATGGGCATACCACGATCACAGCAATAGCTCCTCCAGCTGAACCAGCTCCAATGGCAATCTTGGTGCGAGTGGAAAGTGAGGATGAGTCGGAATTTGTGGAACCAACTGCAAGATACTTGGCTTTGATGATGTCCGCCGCTCGCTCAGCAATGCCATAAGTGGTGGCCATCGTATGGGCCGACACATGCAATGGCGCAATGGAGACGTCGACCACACGAAGATTGGTGGTGCCATAGACAACCAGACGGGTATCGACAACTCCGCCACGCTCGAGCGGTAACATCGAGTTGGTACCAATGGGATGGTATTCCGTGCTGGACGAGCCCGCAATATAGCCATTAATGGCCCCGTCTGTGTCCGGCATCCCAGGGGCCTCCGCCTTGATTATACCCGCCATTGGGGCAGTCGCAATGGCTCTCCTAGTGTATTTGAAGGCAGTCCTCATAAGGTCGAGGTCGTATGAAACTGAAAGGTAGTTGGGGTTGATCTCGGGGTAGTCGAAAATGGAGGAGGACTTGATGTTAACGTAGCCTCGCGAAAACGGATGCTGGAGACACAGCTGGATTCCAATCATGGACGCGGCAGAGCCAAACATGTTGAATATGAGCTCTATTTGACCGATCTTCGCGTCTGCTGCCCAATTCGATAATATCGAGTACTGCGCTTTGACGCCGGCTTGTACGGTGGGGTCCATGGAGGAAGCGTCTGCGGAAATTGAGAGAGCAGAGTCAGTGTTAATGGAGGAGGCCCAAAGGGAGGCGTCGGTGCCCATAAGGTGGGTAGTTGCAGGATAAGCAGTTGCCTCGTTCCAATAACTCCACATTCCAGTGCCATCTTTCCGCCAAATCGCGAGTTGCTCGTCCCATAACGCCTGGTCGAACTTCAAAGCCGCCCAGGTGTCGTTATCGGTCGCTTGCATGTAAAGAGAGGCGGAGACTATAGTTCATCAGAGAGATATTTGAACCAGAAGGAAATTACGAACGATGTTCTTGGAGATTTTGACCCACTCCAGGGAGGTCGACGACAGTTTGGATTCCATGAGCAGAGAGGAGCGACCTTGGGCCAACACCGGAGACTTGAAGGATTTGGGGTGAGCCAATAGTACCGCCACTGGGAAAGGGGTAAGCAAGGGACGCCAAACGAGCGGATAAATGGCGAACGATAGGATTACTTCCTTGGCGGCATTGACTTTGTAGACGGTTCCGCCAGCGTTAGCCGCGAAGGAAACCCCTCCCGCAACCGCAGCACCTGAGATTGTGGAGTTCCAGTTGATCTTCGTAACTTGGAAGCCGGTCAGGATAACGAGATTGGTCCCAGCATACGGTGCGATATAAGCAGATTTAGAGTCCGACCGAGAGCCATTGTGAGGGTTGATGATCGAGGGGACGAAAGCGACGCCAATGTTGTCACCATTAGCAGGATCGAGAGTGTGAGGGAGACCCATGTTGACCATTGTCGGTACCCATGTCGCAAGGTGAGAGTACTGGTATGCGCTATAGCTGCTCTGGATGGGGCCAGTTTTCCCATGTGCATCTGGGTCGTGGGTTACAGAGAGCAATGCTGCGTTAGCTTCCGCCATTGGAGTAAAGGTTTCGGCCTGAAGTAGTTAGAAATGGATTTGGAAATTTCCGAGACATACCTTTTTCATGGCAGCCTGCATCTTATCCCATCCCCAGTCCTCCGCATTAGCAGCACCATTCTGAAGGGCATTCCAAGCATCGTATTCGGGAGCGCTTCCGCGACACCAAAAACCGCCATTGGTGGCAGATGAACCGCCAAGGCCTTTGCCTCGAGGCCATACTCGCGTTGCGTTTCCAGCGCTAGCCTGAGCGGTTGTTGTATACGCCCAATCATAGGTTGTTCCCGACAGTCCGTCGATGTAAGCCATTCCTTGAAGATTACATGTCAGCTTCAACCGCAAAGCAAATGTAGAAAAACCCCGCACCGGGAATTGCAATCCGGTCCGCAAATTCACTGCCATCAGTCCCAGCCTCGATAACAGCAATGGTCGTATTCTTCCACTCCGCTAACCTCGCCGCAAGTGCAAGACCCGCCGTTCCTCCTCCGACAATGACGAAGTCAAAAGTCTTGTCTGATACTTGATTAGGGTCTGTAGTCGAGCGCTTGTGTATTGGCGTTGGGGTTGCGGTTGTTAAAGCGACCATGGTGGCCGCGATAAAGAGTAGAGGGCGCATTATTACGTGTGTCGGAGAAAAAACGAGTGTGAGGATGGTGGTGGTCTTATACAAACGCTAGAATCGGATTGGCAAAAACAGGGAGACTCTCCAAGGCAAAAGCCTAGAGTACTGTCTTTAGCTTGATCGGCGCGGGCGCGTCCAGAGTTCGAGTAGCGACGACAGCATCTGGTGGAGAGTAAGTTAAGAACTGGGTCAATGCAAGTGGGCGACGGACCTGAGAATCTCCGGATGGTCCATCTCGAAGATATCCATTCGATGTCCAGCGAATCCACGATCAGCTGGTTTATGATATATTCCGGGTCAAGAAACGCCTTGGCTGAGACCTTGTCCGACTGCTTGTCTCCGACTGCTTGTCTCCGACATGCTAGGTTTGTGCTTGTTAAATGTAGCCTGGGCCACATCATCGGGAGCGTTATACTGAGGGCGGTGGAATGTCGTTGCTCGCTGGAGTCTAGTCGCGGATTGATGTCAAGTGAAAATCGAACTGAGATAGAGACAGACGATGCCCATTGGATATCGCGATGCCATGAAATTGCCTGTTGTGCTCAAATTCAGCAGATTGCTTTTGAGAATCCCGTTTGGTGAGGAAATGAGTCGTTGGTACATCACGTGTAACCCTTTGCACGCAACATCTTCCTCGACGGAACCCATGCCCTCAAACAAATCCCGGGCGGATAGCGACAGGTTGGAAGAATGCCACGAGGCGTGAACGACAGGCAATAAGCACTTGTGTGTACAAAGTTTTGTGTGATGCTTTACCTCACTTTCGTTTACCCAGACACCTCCGTTGGTTCCTTCTTCGACGACGTATGGGAGGCCCTGCTCACTGATGGGGCTCATAGCTGTGCTATAGGGCATATTTGGACGATGCGAATGCGGTGTGTCCCTCAGGTACATCAATGACGAAACTCACGGAAACAAGCAACCCGCAGACGGCCACTTTCGAGCGTTTTTGGTCATTCGGTGCAATCGCAAGAGGCATATCAAGCCGCATATCCTCGGTTTCAGTGTCAATGCCAGAACGTTTCAAGGAGGCGGGGAGAGAGCGGGAGAGTAAACACGATATTAGAGGAGACCCGGCTCATCGTAAGACATCGTAAGCTTCGTTGCTGGCTCTTTTTTTGTTTGCTAATGTCGCAGTCGAAGCTTGCTCGGCTGAGTTGCCACTTGGTTCTCGACTTCGTAGCATGACAATTCACGTCTGGACCTTTCCACAACGAAGACATTTGTTTCCGTGCAGAATGAGACGCAGGGTGTGTATGAAACAGTGTGTTTACTTGCCGCTGCATTACTTCGTGTTGACTGTGTTTTCTCCCTTGCCAGTCTTGCACGCTGTCAAACACGAAACGACCACAACCACCGATAGCCCCTCAGAAAACTCGGTCCAATCGTCAATATAACTGCCTCATCATACCGTCCTACATGCGTCTACATGGAGAGAAGAGGCTTCGCTATAGCGGATCTACTCAATATTTCTCGCTGTCCTCGACCACGAGCAATGCAGCAAACAAGTGGAGCGGAACCCGACGCTGATGCAACTCGGCCAGCGACAACAACCTTCATCAACTCTGACTTTTCATTCTGCCACCTATTCTGCTGCCACCGGTTATGGTTTGCCGCTCGGATCCCGGAGTTGTCCTTCAGGCATGATCATCCTTCCACCGCCTTACCACAAGAAATAATCATTTCTTAGGAACGGAAATCATGCGTTCAAGCGTGACATTTAAGCTTGCTACAACCATGTACTCTTCCCCTCCTTGCTCGAGCCGCTGGAAGAGATTATGTCGTTCGTTGCATATCTAACTTAGGTCTTATCGTCTCTTCGCCGCTCGGACAATAACTCCGCTTCCCCACCCCCACTACCGTGTCAGTCCCTCATTCTTTACTGTAATAACTAGGTGGGGGAATGTCCGATGGAGCCAGGGAGGGTGTCAACCGATATGGCCGATCCAATGACCACACAGTGACGGTTCTTCGCTCGTCCGTAACAACACCCACTCTACTACTCGTAGCCTAACAGAATAATCAGTTGGTGGACACCAGACCTTAGAACCACAACGTGCCTTCTTCCTATACCGATTATCCTGCGTGAAGGGAACAATTGTTGTCGCAGCCCAGTCATTAGCACCAGACGTCGCCACGCGTCTGTTCTGACTATCGGTATATTCAAAAGTCGAAGGTCGAGCTGACAGTTGATGAGTTCCAGTACAAACGCGAATTCAGGCATACCTGCAAGCTGCGAATATCGGGCCATTTTGCGGCGACGAAGCCAAAAGATAGAGAGTCCCACAAGAACTGCGAGGAGAAAGATTCCTGCAACAATACTGCCGATCACCAACTTCGTACTTGCATTCGAGTGTGGTGGAGTGAGGGTGGCCGTCTGGACATAACTGCTGGTGCTGTTCGAGGCTCCGGAGACAATGAAATAGTCGACATTCAGCGCTGGACCAGAATGGTACGTTATGTTGACCGTGTGTGTACCAGATGGGAGTGCCAATGAAGAGGTGTCGAATAGAGGCAAGTTGTATATTGTTTCATTTGGTTGCGCGCCAGTGGTCGGGGGCTTCAGTGCGACAGTGCGAGTTCCTTCATCGATAATTGCAGAAGCGTTCAAACACCCTCCGGAATTGGCCGTGCAAGCTCCAGTGTAGGAGCCGTACAAACTGAGGTGACTGCCTAAGACTTGATCACAAACGCAGTAGCCGGAACAAACAAAGTCGCCTCACCTTGAAAGGTGACCGCAACCCATGCTCCTGGGCTTCCCACCGAATGGCTTGTCTGGCCAAAGAAGCGCATATCCATGTTCACTTGCTGCCAATCACCTCCATAGCGGATGCTTCCGTCTTGGTCTATGTCGTCCAAGAATACCTTCTTTCCTTGCACGTCTTTTGTTTGCACTATCAAGTAGTCGAGAAACAGCTGGTCAGGGTTGCTTCCGCTCGCCGTTATTTGCAAGGTGTGTGGTCCATCAGAGAGAAGAGGAGAGATGAAGAGCGGCTGGTGGTAGCCGATAATGGAGGGGCCCTGAGCCGAGGGATATGTGGTAGAGGGCCCACCATCGATACTGAAGTTCATTCGAGAGGCATTGGTTTCTGAAGTAGTTCCATAGACGCTCACCGCACTCCCTTGTCAGCAACAAATCAGTGTTCGTTTGGGAGCAAGGACAAGTTGTATCACCGACGAAAGAAAACACAGCAGCGTCCCCATTTGCATTGGGAAGTGAAGTCGTGCCGTCAAACTCGACGGGTACCCCCAGCCCGGCCCCTCCGTTCTGTGTCCGCCAGACCGGGATGTACTGCACAGCAGCATCGCGGTCGTCGAATACTTATGACGTTCATCAGGGATGAAAGAGCGCGTAGGGGAGTTGAGTGCGCCAGCGTCGTCCAATGGAGTCTATAAAGCCCTACCATAACGAAAGCGAGTCAAATGGTGCCGGTAGCCCAGGCAACTGTGTTCCTTCACCTCCTCACATCCCATATATTCCAACCTGAAAGGTCAGGCGCTTACTCGGGAAGACAACAACGCACAGTCGTGAATCTGCGTGATGAGTATCCGAATGCTGTAGTTCGTCTCAGTTTAGGCCAAAAATAGGTGGCCTCTCCAACAAGACGGATGGCTTTTCGACGGCTTGAAGCCTGAAAAGTGTTTTTGGCAGCCAAGTGCAGTCGCGGAGTCATTAATATCATGATTGCCCTTGGAAACGATATGCGGCCCGGGTCGGAGTGGGTCCTTCAAGCCTTGCTCGCCGGCGGTCCTCGCTGGCACTGGCATACAGTATGCAACTTGGTCAGGTGGCATTCTCGGTTCAGAGTAACTTGTTGGCAGTTACATAACATTACCGACCACGTGTAATTTATGGGGCCAAGTCCGAATCCGTCCATCCCAGAAAATTAGGTTGCCAGACAGACACAAGCAACAAAATAAACACCTATATGCAAATAGCTATAGAGATAAATGTTCTCCTTTCAGTTGCTTGTCAGTAATGCTGCTAGTAATACAATAAGGCATGTTTCAGATAACAGAATAGCAAAGAGCTCAGTGTGGTTGTTAGTCTGTTCTCCTGGTACCTGTGCAGACATATTGAAGCGGGAGCCTGGACACCAGCCCCTGCGGCAGCCGATGTTGTTCCTTGGTTTTGGAGCGACGACATTGGAAGAAAATTGAGAAGAATTACTTACTTTTTTAGGATTATTTCAGTTGGTAGCTTGGTATTTGCGTGTTGGGTAGAGGTTCCCTTGTAGACGGGGAGCAGGTCACCCACATTCAGGTATCAGGTTCGGTAGCTCTCGGATGAGGCAGTATTACTGTATTACAAACAAACAAACAAACCTGTCATAGTAACCTGTGTAACTCTATTTCTTGATCACTTGGCAAAGATGCTGTTACTAGTAATCTTTTATGAAAATTTAGTGGTGGCCTCTAATTATGTAAGTATGTCAGTCAAAGTAGGGGAAATAATTTTCTATACTGGCCTAGTAACATACTTTGTCATTTTTGTGTTGCTGCAACTTCAAGTTTTTCCATACCAATTTAGTAAATTGTTGGGAATCAAATCTGTTTGTAAACTCCATAACTAAAGTTATCAACAATTTAATATCCACAACTTCTCTTCCTGGCAGTTCCTGCACCTTGAAGTAGTTTCTTGTAAGGACAACGCCAGAGGCCCTGAGATCAAGGTTCTAGCAGGGGAGGATCCAAAGAGTGAATATTCAATGGTCAGATACAAATGAAGCTGACCTAGCAGTTAAGGATCCAAAGAGAAGAAACTTTAAGGGTCTACCTGCTAAATAGCTGACTATATACTACTTATCCGTAGCTGCTGCTGGCAGGCACAGAAGGCCTGGGCGTGTTGCAGGCTAGGCGGGGCAACTGGCAGGTGCCAGGAGGGCATTGATGGATCCATGATGGCATGGGCGAGAAAGGGAGTCAGACTGGAAATGGAGATAGACTGTCTCCAGGGGGGGGCAAAAGAGAGGTTCTCCTGACAGCCCTGCCTATTTAGAAGTACAGTCTAATTATTAAACCCCCTGATCTTTATCAAAAATAATTTCATATTCCAGCTTGCGACTGTGTGGGCACTGCAATCAAATTTTTGCCCATAGGCACAGATATTATACTTGTTATACATAATGAGATATCAACTAATTATTACTTGAAGCCCTATATCATTTATGACTTCTGATATCAGGGACCAGGGCTTTTACCCACATCCTTTGTATTACTTCTATGAGCAGTAGTCCAGATCTTTTGCATAAAAGTAAGTGAAGGCTGTAAAGCTATAAGTTTATAGAGAGAAATACTCAAATATTCTTATCATATAAAAACCTGCCACAAGCATCTTAATTAAATGAAATGTCACATATCAAAGCACTAATATGGTTCAAAAAATCAGATGTTATATATATTTAAGCAGAATAACATCCTAAAATAGACTTTTAAAAATAGTCATTTTCAAGAGTTATAGTATCCTGACATCAAGAGTTGCCTAGTTAGAAAATGAAATGACATTCAAATCTAGTTAAATAGAATAGAAAATGACTTTAGAGGTAGCTATGATTTGTTGGAGAGTGCAAAGATGTACAGAGTGAAAAAAAATTGGAATAATAATAATAATAATAACAATATAATATAATATATACTATAATATAATATCACCAAACTTATTTCTGATATTCAGTAGAATACTCACAGTGCAACATGAGCATTGATATGATCTGGATTGATATACTCTGATACTATTTGAACATCTCAAATTAAATTAAGAGACTTATTGCCAGAAAAGGGCTTGAAGCAAGGTCTGACTGCATCATGGGCTCGTAGTTAGCTGTTTCTTTTTGAACCTTTCCGAAACAGATACATTCTAAATATGTACATTCAAGCCAAATTACACCAAATAAAGAGCAAGGATATTAGTACAAAAAGATAAACTGATTCGGACCTTCATGGCTGCAACAATACGTCCAACAACTCCCCAATCCACTGAATCACCTTGGTCGCATGTCCACCCGTGGGCGGTAAGAACACAAATGTACTCGCAACCCCACCCATCCCGATGTCCTCCAGCGCCTGCAAATGGGTTCCACCAGGACTGAACACGGGAACAGCAGTGTTTTCCTCGACAGTGTTGAGAGTAGATGTCGACGCCCCTCGCGTAGAAGACGATCGCAGCCTGTCATGGTCTTGCGCCATGCGGAAAATAGTCGAAACAGCACGAATGATGACCGGGTTGGATGATTTCGAGAAAATAGAGTGAATCTTCTCTTCAAGTCCGTCATAGGTCATGCCCACAATATCAGGATACGAAATTCCCATGTCTGACAGCAAGCAATACAGCATCTCGCTCTCCGCGTCGTTGCCCGAAGTCGTTGTCACCACCACCCCGAGGAAGGAGGCAGCGAGCAACGCACTCGTCGGTGAGTCGATCCCAAGTAACGACACTTGGACACGCGGCGAATTCGTCTCGTCCTCGACTGGGTTGATAGCAGGTAAACACGACTCGTCCATATTGCATTCCTTGAGCAGCCTCCGATAGGACGTGTGCGTGGCCGAAACAGGCAGCAGGGCAAGAAAGTAGCCAAGCGCCTCCGCCGACAAGGCATCCCTGACCTCGCCTTCACGAAGATACGGCCGCATCGTCACGCTCAGCAACGTCCGCAGCACACTCTCCGCCGCCTCCTTTACGATCGAGGTCCGCAGGCCCTTGAATAAAACAGCGGACAACGCAAACGAGAAGTTGGTGTCGAACGAAATGCCCATGATGCTGTCGAACTGGGTGAGCACGGGATCAAAACTGTCCCGCCCTTCGAGCAGCACTGTCGACACAGATGCGTGTCGGAACAGCCCCCGTTCCCGCATTCCTTCGAGCGTGACCGAAAGCAAAGAAGCCGCTTCGCTGTAGAACGTGATATAGCTGCATTGTAAAAGGGCTACCGCAAGCCAAAACAGCGAGACAAGGTAGCGCGAGCCAAGAGGCAGCGACGGAGCAGCCTTGGCCAATGAACGAATCATTGTAACCACAATCGCCGCATCAGATTCCGAGCTCTGCTGTAAAGCCATTCTCAGCGCCACCAGCATCTGGTAGACAAAGTCGTCGTCGGCCTCGGTCAAGAGCGAACCCAAGGTTGTGAAAGCAGGAATTTGGATGGCGGGAGAGTATTGGAATGCCGAAGATGAAACCAAACTCATCCACCTTGCTCGCCAGACATTGAGCAGTCCCCGCGAACCAGCAGTGACCTCCAAAGTGCGGATGAGGAAATCCGTGAGTCTTTCCTGGCTGTCAACCTTAGCAAGATCACCAGTAGCGTCAAATGATGCATATTCGCTGCTCGTGTTGAGCCGTGTCAGACCAAACAGGCGCTGGGTCTCTGGTGATTCGCATTCCTCCATAAGCAAAGAGAGCTCAGAGGCAGGAGCGTCTTCTGATCGACCAATGTACATCGCCTGCAACAAGTTGACGACGAGCCCATAAACTGATTTCCGAACAAGGGATGAGCCAACCCCAGCAGTCAAGGTGACCAGATGGAAGATGTCGGGGACATAGAAGAGATTGTGGCCAGGCTTCATCGATTGGTATCCACCGAGGTAGCACAGCCGAATCAAGGTCGAAATTTCCGTCCAGTTGGGGTAGTCGGGCAAGGTTTTGGGCGGAGTTTTCGTGCCCGTAGCCTTTGTCAGTGCCTATGGGAATGGTTTTTAGTATCATGATATTCAGGTAACTATCACGAACCTTTCGAAGCTTGAAGATCAGCTTTCCGCGTAAAGGTAGGGAAGTCATGGACGCAATGAGCAGTCCAATGGTCTCGCAACGCGTAGAGCCAACACCGCCATCGGTCGCACTCCGAATAAGCTCGTCAAGAACCACGTCGGTAACACTGGGATCAAGCTTTCCGACCTCCGCCCACACATATCGTTGTGTCCCAGACGTCAGCTTCAGAGTTTGTCAGAAACGGGATAGTTTTGACCAACAACAACACTTGCCTCGGGCTGACTTGTCGACATGTCTGACAGAATGCGGATGGCGTCCCGAATGCGTGCCCCCGATCGCTCGTATAATTGACTGGTCGGGTTCACGAAATGCACCAGGTTCTTCATCCACGGTCGCATGTACTGGATGCAGGCAACCCGTTGTGAAATAGCATTCCGGTCCATATTCGTCATAGCGACGGAAATTTCGGAGATGAAATCAAGCGTAAGTTGGGGAACGAATTCCGATAACGCCTCGCTCAGGCGGGTCACGAAAGTTGTCGGGTCTCCAGGAACAAAACCGGCTAAATGAGATGTAAAAATGCTGTCTATAAACCAGGGGACGAACGCACATTTTGGGGCTGCAATGGGACTCTTGTCAAAGTTAAGATATGTGCAGACCGCAGCCAAAAGCTGGTAGCCCGCTGAGCAAAGCTCCTCATCATTGACACCAACACTAAGCATTCCAACATGCAACAAAGTTGCAGGAATATTGGAAAAGCGAGAGAAGCGCTCTGCAAGTGGAATGGAGGTGTCCTTTAAGCGACCTTTGGCTGAACGAATCGCCTAGAAGTGATCATGAGAAGATCGATTGGAGTCGAGGACGGTTATACCTTCACGATGGCCTCTCTTGACGCCGACGAGAAATACACAGTTGCGCCTTGTTGAGACCGTCGAATGATAAACTCTTGCGTATCTTGGCCGATTGAGGACACATTGTAAACGTCGCTGACATCCGACAGTGGAATGATCTCCGTCGCTTTGCATGTCAGTCCAGGAGAGATGGGCTGGGCCCGAGTAGACGTTATTCGGAGGTGGGTTTCGCCAACAAGCATGGAAATTGGGAAGCGTGACTGCTGCAAGCGCATCGAAATTTCCGCGAATTGGCTGCCAACCTCTGCTTCCAAAGATGCTGGAAGCAAACAGATCAGCATTGGCCAGAGCAGATAAAAGGAAGCATACACGGGTACCCAAGTTTATCAATCACCTGTCGCGGTACATGCACACCAAGTTCGATAACCGAAGAGTGGGCTCGAACAGAACCGCAGAATGGCGTACCAGCCGCAAAGTTATAGAGTCTTCGCATGTATTTTTGGGTAAGGGTGTTGGAGTTGAGGATATGGGTCGTCGCAAATCGTGTCCGGATGTCGTAGGGTATCAGTTCGGCGCAGAATTTGAGCCATTGGAGTGGAAGCTCAGATATACCAGTAAATGCCGTGCAGTCAAGGATGACGTCGAAAGTTCTGTTTTGATAGATGGGCAATGAGAGAGTCTGAGAAAATCAATATCAGCAAAAAAGAATACATCATGAAAAAACTGAAACGTACCTTGAAGATATGGTACATTAGTAGCTCAATATCCAGTACCTCGACGTCGATTTTGGCGAGATTGAACAAAAACACTGCTGGCTTATCCTGTCCAGCTTGTGAGAATGGCCCGCGTATACGGCCTTGGAACATACCAAAGGCGAGTCCGTCTCTACAAAGATGCTTCTCACGGAATCTGTACTGCGATGGGCGTGTCGCGCCATGAGATCCAGGTAATCGCGATGCTCAATCGACGACGCCAAAGACAGCTTGGGAATATCCAAAGGCGTCCCGAGCTCAACGAGTAAGCCGCAGAGCTCGTCCCATGCATGCTTACCAGACATTGCGGTCGGGTCCACATCCGAAGGTTTCGACAAACTAAGCAGTTCTTTGCCGATCTTGTCTGCGTGTTTGTGAAAGTACCGATGGAGCACGATTATGTCAGTATCGTCTGTGGTCGTTCCAGACCATTCGTCAGTTTCATCTTCCGTGGAAGAGGGTGTGTATTTCTAAAGGAGAAACATTGAATTGCTGCACTGGTCACAACAAAACCAAGCGTACCTGAAGCTCCGACAAGAATCTTGTGACAATGGCAATATTGTCTGCGAGGAACGCGTTCAGCGGGACCATATGTTTCTCCTTGCCAAAGAACAGGTTGTTCGCTAAATTCTGGATGATCTTGGTGATGATCATAAGTCCGCGACGAATGGACAACTGCTCCTCCCGCGTCAAATCTTTCGGTATCTCCACATCAATTGTTTCTGGTGCAACAATAGCGGGCGAGATGAATCTACAGTCCCTCAGTGGTGATAGAGCCAGATAGAGGTGAAAATGACCGAAGAAAGATGAAGGCTCCCATAGCCGAAAACTTGCAGTCGGGCCACACGTTTTGCACGACCTTCGAGATGTGCGTGCAGATTTCGCGAAACATTCTGCCATGGATCAGCAAAGTCGTCATCACCAAAATAAATAGCTACTGACGCAGGCAGTGTAGGAAGGGACATGGAAATAATCTCCAAAAATGTGGACGCGATGACCTTGACGTTCTCCAGATTCTGTGCGGCTTTAGCTTCACCGACGTCGGGCTTGTCTGGGTCGAGCTCGTAACCATGACCAGGTGGTACCGCTGCCATCGCTTTGATTAGCGGTATAATCAAACTCCGCAGGTAAGTGTAGCCATGCACTTTTGCGAACGCCGACAGAAACCGGGTGCAAGTCGTGTTGCTGCGGAACAATTGAGATTCGTTTTCTGGGATATGCATTAACGGAGAAGGGACAACAAGATCACAATAAACAACCTGTCGCGGCAACCTCCCGTTCGATCATGTATTTGAGCAGTGCCATGAGGGTGCTGCGCGTGTCGAAGAGATTGAGCATGACCGAAACCATTATTTCGACTTCAGATTGTGGACAAGTCTCGCAAATAGCCATGACAAGCACCATCTATGACAGGTCAGTAAAATACGTAGACGCAACAAAAGGCATGTTTTACATTCGACCCTTTCACAAGCTCCAGTAAACGTGAATGCCGGTTGACGGCCGCAGGGACTGCCTCAATCTCGAATTTGGTACCTTGAGAGATGACACGGGCAAAAACGCTTGCAAATATTGCTCGTTTCTTGAGATCTGAGCCGTAGGCCAGGGGCAAACACTGCTTGAATCCATGCTCAGAGTTGGCGCTGACCATGTGCGTAAGGCCAGTAATGACAAGTTCGCGTAATTCAGCCTCTCGTTGCGCAACTCGATTCTTCTGTGGTCGAGTTATATTACCAACTCACTGCATAACAAGATGGTATACCTTGTGTAGGGACATCGCCTCCGAAACATTATCCGAACGCTATCAGGACGATCAGTTAGATTAGCCTCCGGTTCCAAGCAAAAATGCTAACCACATCGTCCAATTGACACTCGATATGTCCACGAAGAAGTAAGCTGGAGTATTTGTGGAATAAGCGTGAGACTGAATGTGCACTATCGTCGCCAGCTGCAGCTTCTTCCGGAGGTCGTATCTGCAACCGATCGAGAAGCTTAACACAAGTCCTCAGACATGCAAAATTTAGCTCCGTCTGCGCAAGGTGCTCGGGGGAGTGTGATGGGATCTGCGAATACATCAACAGCAATAAACCCGGACTGAAGGGATTATACCTCTGGCAACGTCTGCATCCACTCAGCCAAGATATCGAGAATCCTTTGGCGAGCAGGACTATCTCGCCGGATTGTCAACAGATCCGCGCGGTCGCAAACAGCATCACACAGAATGCAGAACCGGAGTCGAAGTCGCAAAGCCGCATACGCATCAAAGCGACCAATGAAAGACGCTAACGAATGCATGGTTCCGCTGATGTCGATGCTCATGATCTCTTCAGAGTTGATGGGCGTGCTCTCAATGATGAGCTTGAGGACGGCACTAAACTACAGAAATCTCTGAGTGAAATGGGAATACGCACAAAGGCAGAAAATTACCTGGTCGACAAATAAAATGTGTGATTCTGCAAGCTCTGAGCCAGTCACTAAAACACTGATTTGACGAATGGTACTGAAAACGCTAAGTCAACAAGTAGAGTCAAGAGAGTACTGAGAACATACTCGTCAAAGTGCCTCAATAGCCTTGAGTATAGTCTCGGACTCAACTCACTACCCAATGCGGTCTTGGAAATCTCGCGCATCTGCGAATCCTCACTGACCAGTTCATCCGTCAGCGTATAAAGGAACTTGGACACCAGTGGTGCTGGCTGCTGGAGCTCGCGTAGTTGATCGGGAAGATATTGGGGAGGGATGACGGTTGAGAGGAACCTCAGGTTAATGCCGTCCTGGACACAGGCGCCGCCCAGCGACGCAAGGAACATACTGAGGTTTTCATACGCAATGCGTTTTTCCTAATACGGGTGAAATGCAGGAAACGGGATGTTATTACCGACGGACCTTGACCGCATTTATAGTGTCTTCTCTGGTCTCCGGTGTCGAGTTGGCCTCGTCCAAGTTGTCCTTGAGCAGATTGTACAAATAAAGCCATCGATAGTAACACTCTTCCCAAACAGCAACATGGATTGCGGAAGGGAATGACAGGAGTCGGATGAACTTTCGAATCCGCTTTTGATACCCAACGCGACCTAGAAATGATCAGACGGAGAAGCGACTCCAGATGATTCAAACTTACCCACAACTACAACTCGAGGATCTCCCAGCTGCTCGTACACAAGATGTCGTTTGGATATCAGGTCATCATCGAGAACTGGAGGCGGTGGTGCATCTGGACGAGCTTCCAGTTTGGCAAGTGTCCGTAAACCCTTCGCGGCCATCTGGGCGATGGGCATACTCTCTGTTGTTAGAGTAACCAATAATGAAATCTCCACCAGCGCTAAAGCTGGCGCACGATCCTCGTGGTTTCTTACGGCTTGAGAATGTTCAGCCTGCAAGAAATTAGCGCTCATCACCCCGACCAGAACGAGTTACTGACAGGGTTGCGGATGAGATAAATGTCGAGCAATGAGGTAAGTGCAGATGTCCACAGCAATGTCGTGTCAGTATCCGATCGTGTCCTTAGTAGATTGGAGCTTGTGGAAAACAACGTGTTGGGTCTGAAACAAACATGAATCAGTATTCCATGGCTTGGGACAGCAGACTCACAAGGCATACTGCAGAAATTTGATGCTGGCTTCTGCATGCTCGCCCAAACTCGGTGCCTTCAAGACGGGTGGCGGAATCATCAGGAGATTGACGAGCATGGACGCTTTAACCGCGTTATGTAATGTTGACTCCCAAAGTCGCAAACAGGCATTAAGCCAGCCTTTCGCGTTCTCTCCCTGCGATGCAAAAAGTGAGGGTCCGCCCCGCCACATTGCAGCAATCCCAAGCATAAAAATCTCGTTGTCTTGCAACATATTGGGGGTACGATGCTTGATTTTGGGAAATGCCTGAGGTCGTTGTGGTCGTCTATTCTGGTCGATCTCCCCTCGCTTTCGGCCCGCATTCTGGCGGAATGCAATTGAGTGACTGACTTCAGATGGACAAGCGAAGCTAATACCGCAAAGATGGCCTGCAAACGTGGCGAAATAGTTGCGACCAACTTGTCTAGCGACCGCTGCCATGGGAGTCGAGGTGCCTGCAAACTCTTTCATTGTCTTATTATCGACCACAAGATATAACCCACCTCTTGTATTAGGGTCAAGCATGCGCGAACGACACAGAGTTTGACGGCGTCTGACCGTTCAGGCATCAGGCATTCCTCGAATAAGAGTAAGGAGTCCTGCTCAGGGAGGAAGCGGAAGATCGCTGCCAACGCTTGCCCATATAGGGCAACATCGATCTCGTCCAAATCCCAGAACGGTTTTTGGCCATTGTACATCGGATGACGAAGCATTCCCTGTGAAGTCGAAATTAGGACTATACAATATGCAGAATAAATTGAGACGTGCTTTGAGTTCTGGGGCAAGGTCAGAAGCCACCATTCGAAGCGGAGCATCGCCTTGTCCCTGTACACGGGACGCAACGCGACACAAATCGACAGCGCAAACAAGAGCAGTTTCGCTCAATTTCGACTGGATTTGCGCATGTCGAATGATATCTTCGGAGAACTGCACGTTCTGACCTGAAGATAAGAAAACATGATCGACTTGCGGATTTGGAGTTCTTACCGGCCTTGCTGTCTTCGCTCGCGACGATGAAGTCTGATTCATAAGGTCCGAAGCTAACCGGTCCGATGATATGCTATTTAGGATTGCGAGTGTTGGCCAGGTCTGTTTTTGTGTCTGCGATTCGGGGGTAGAGCAGAGTTTGTAGAGAAGATCAAACATTCGCTCGGGGACACCCTCTAAAGCTCCTCGTGTCCGTATTGTTTCGTTGAACTCGTCGGGGTATTGGTCTATCCAGTTCCAAACGGCGGCACGGAGAACAGGGGCGATTAACTGGTGTTCTTCTTTGATGTTCAGCAACAGGGCTGCAAGCTCTGTAATTCGCTAGTTAAGACCATGATACATTGACGAGAAAACAACAAGCCTTGGAGGACGGCTACCAGACGCTCTCGATTCAGGGCACTATGCGCCAGCAGTTGCAAATCCACAAGGTCAGGGGTCTGTTTGCGGTCCATGTCCCCACCAGCAAGATGATGCAACTTGGAGCGCAAACGGTTGAATACAACAGGCCAGTTTGACGCAGAGATTTGGAAAATGACACGGCCAGCAAACTTGGCAAGCAGTCCATTCATGAGTTGTGGCGAAACGATTGCTGAGCGTTTTGTGCGTTCATACTTGAAGCCACCAATGCTCGATGGCACAGAAGAGCTGACACTGGCAGTAATTGAGCGCAGCGAGCTAACGGACGCTCGAGGCCGGAGATTTCCCACTTCTTCATCCGTATCCAGCAGATTCATTTCCCCGGGGCCAAGCTCGTAGTCGTCGAAAGCGAGGTCAGTCGTTTGGTCTTCGATCATGAGAGGGGACTCATTGCTATGCGTCTGTCGGAGGTATAAAACCATAACGCTGAGGACGTATTTGGCGCAGTTATCGTCGAGGGGCGGTAAATCCGTTTGGATTGAACGTTGGTCTGCAGCAAAACGCGTTCGTGACGGTGCTGGGGAATCGTTGCTGGCTCGCGAGGACGGGCGATTTGATTGATTCCAGCGCGAGGCAAGGGCCATGGACAAAACTTTCATCACATAGAGCTGGGACTGAATGACTTCGTTGGTCAGGATGGTGGGGTGAGGTTGCGGCTTGTCCTTGTCGGGCTTCCAAATGGTATGAGTTACGAGCGAGCTGGGAGAAAACATGGCGCACGATAGCCAAACGCTCCAAGAGCTCACTCAAAGCCCATGATATGATATCCATGCTGTCGTGTGTGAGCGTAACAAGCGCCTCGAGTGCTTGTTGCGTCGCGGTGTCCGCCTCCAGTTCGATCAAGTCCATCCCAGAGTTGTACGGAAGCTAAGAAAACATGGGGTCAACCACGAAAAAGACGTTCCTGACGACCAACTTTGAGTTTTATCCTTTGAACCAGCACCTGGACAATTTTCTGCTGGGGAGTGGCGGAGGCGGAGGAAGATAGGGTAGAATGGGAAAGAGACGACGCAAACGCGTGGCCGAAAGCATGCGAGTCGCTGCTCTTCCCGACTCGTGTTGCCGATGTCGCAACCGATGGTGAGGCAGCCGTATGCCCAAGCCCTGGAATGGGCACAGACGGCCGCCTATTGCGATGAATCATTTTGGCCGGCACGCCTTAGCGTCGGAAGAGGGAAGAAGGGAGGGCGATGCGGGAGGGGAGATGAGGAAATTCGAGGAAAGTGTGACAGTCACTCGTGACCTTACTCTTTCACGTTAACAACAAACACCGCGACGCGGACATGAGATTACAAGTACGGCAGCTTTGTCTTCGGGTGTGAGACTGGTTGCTCTGGCCAACCCTGCTGTTATACAACCATCTTCAAAGTTTTGCGCTCCTTCTCTCCTCCTTAACATCATTCACCAACGTGCCTATCCCCTGTCCTAGCCAAACGCTCATTGAGTCGCCATCCTTAAGGTAGACGGGCGGCTTCCTAACGAATCCTACGCCTTTCGGTGTCCCCGTCAAGATGAGAGACCCCGGCTCGAGAGTTGTGCCTTGAGAAAGGAAGGCAATCGTTTTGCGAACGGAGAAGATCTGGTCTCTGGATCACAGAGTGTGTTGCAGTATTGTGAATCGATGAAAACAAAGCCCACCTTGTGTTTCCATCTTGCATGACGGCACCATTGACAGTGCATTTCAGCGGAATCGTTTGTGGGTCCGTAATCGCTGCTGTGCTGACTATACAAGGCCCGAATGGATTGGTATCGTCTAGTTATAACGCGTTTCAGGTTCGGAGATGAAGGGTTCATGTCCTGACTCACCAAAACCCTTGGAGAAAGTCCATTGCGAAACAGCCATCTGGTGCTTGCGGAACGACACATCGTTGGCACCTGTATAGCCCAAGACGTAGTCCAGTGCATCCTTCTCGCTGACGTCCCTCGCAAGTTTGCCGATGACGATGACTAGTTCGACTTCATAGTCAGGAAGATGTTCATTTGCGGGTTGTGCGGCTTTCGGGATGACGACGGTAGCACAAGGGCCGATAAGAGACGAGACAGGCTTTACGAAGAGAACAGGAAGTCTATATATCATCGTAAGGACAGAGGCTCCAGAAAGTCAAAATAATATCTGACTCTGGCGGTGGAATGTTCGCTTCTGCCTAATAATTTTTTGTTAGTGCCGCCATGGAAAGAATAGAAATCTAGATCTACCGCATGGTCCACATAGTTCAGACCAAGGCATCTAACATATTTAACCTCTTCACGAGCCAATGGACTCAACAACTCCTTCACGGTGAGGACTTTATTGGTTACTTGAGCAGAAATGTCCAGTGCTGACCCAACTATTTCGTGAGCCTTGATCGTTCGTCCTTGCGCTGCTGCTAATCCGACTATTGACCGTTAGAGTGTATGGGATTTAAGAAATGGGATTTAAGAAATGGGATTTAAGAAATGGGTGGCACCATCAAGCAGCGAGTCCACTGGTTGCCCAAGGTGGACTTGAGATGTTTCTGCGGCGACGAAACGGATAAGTCGGGACCATTGCTAGAGTCCCAGCGTTAAATCGGGATTTAGGTAACCAAACTGATACTCACCGTTCGGATCGGCGACATGAAAGTGCAAGTCAACAGTCCCGACCGTGGGGCCTGGGCAGATTACCTATATCAATAACGGAAGCAGACAGGCGCAAGGCTCCGTCATATTTTGGGAGATGTCACCGAATGTGATAGCTGTATTTGTCGAGCACGTTTTCTATCTTGCAGGTATCTTGGGCATTTCGAAGGCAAGAATGAAAGTCGAAGAAATCGTGACGTGACGAGTGACCGATGCGTCAGCAAAGGATTCAAAGCCTTTCACTTCGAAGTTCGAATGAAGCAGTCTCCAAGTTGGGAGTATTATAGGTCCTCAACCAAACGCATCATATTAATACATATCCCTGGATCATTTCATAGACCCGACCTCATCTTTCAATAAGCTCTAATCAGTCCAGTTCTCCCAGCTGGCAGTCCGATTTCCACGAAACGGTTATCTGGCCCCAGACGCGGATCCGGACTTCGGTCCGGGAGGTTTGCTGAGGAAGTCCTCGGCGCCCAAAGCTGACAAATCAACATCACAAACTCTTCACTTGCCTCAACTCAGTCATTCTTCGCCACTATTCCTCCCAGTCGATGTAGATAGCATTCACATAACACCGCCGCACCATACTCTCCGATTCCAAATGCCTTGACAGATGCCGTCGCCGACAACTCACAATGGTCATTTCGGAAAACCGCCTGCCAAGTCAAGCCGTCGCATTTTGCCAACCTGCCGGTCATCAGCGCAGGAACGGGGCATATGTGGAGTATCCCTTCGGCGCTCATGCTTTTTCTACGAGGGGGAGATTTGCAAGCCGCCGTTTTCATTCTTGAACTCTTCTAAGACCTCTCCTACTTTCAATGGCGACCAGCTACGAATTGCAGTATCCAGTGACCCAGGCTACAGTGACGACTGCTTTTGACCCCAATTCGACCCACACCTCGCAAAAGGATGATATAAATCGTACACAATCTTTGCATCCCAACCGACTTCCCTCTTCGAAGCATCACCCTTCTGACTACAATCCTTATGATGAGCGGTGGTTGTCTTATAACCCTCACGTTGAACGCCGGTCAAGCTCGACCCCTGATGTTCGCGAAACCGTGGCGGACCTTTCCAGAGAAAAATTGAGCGTTGAAAATACCCGAACGGAAGCAGAGGGCGGGGTCCGTGGTTGGATGACGATTGCGGGAGGGTGCGTATATAACATCTTTTTAATTCCCTCATCTGAGTGTGTCTAGCTGGCTTGTTCTTTTCGCTACGTTTGGGTATGCGTCTCGTCGTATTAAGCTTCGCCCCCGCTCACGATTGGCAGAACTGTTTACTCGTTTGGTGTTTATGAAGGTTGTCTTCCATTACATCCTCCGCCATCTCGCATTAAACAGAGCAGAGTTTTACGTGTTCCGATACCTTCCCAACCATACCTCAAGCAGCATAGCGTATGATCTCTCTCTCCTCGTAAATGGCATATATCTTACTCTAGCACACAGATGGATTGGAAGCTTCCAACTCATGATGCCCTACTTGCTCGGGATCGTCTCTGGCAAGCTTTTTGACAACGGCTATTTCCACCACCTCGAAATAGTTGGCGGCCTACTGTTTACCTTCTCGTTCGTGCAGACTATTTCATCAAGCTCCAGACTTACAGAATCAAAGACTCTTCATGCTCTCACTCGCCAAACCACTCCAATACTATCAAATATTTCTTAGTCAGGGACTCGGCATGGGTATTGGTGCCGGCTTAATTTTCGTCCCAACGATCTCCGTCACGTCCCACCACTTCGCCAAACGGCGTGCTCTTGCTATGGGTATCCTTCTTACAGGAATATCGGCTGGCTCCACCATCTTTCCTATCAGTGCGGTCTTCACAACGTTTCTCTGTCGCTCACCAATTCCCGCATAGTGCTCAAGTGCATCTACCGTTGACATCATAGTACCTCTATCTGATATGACAGCAGTCATCTTATCCCCAAGATTGGTTTTGGACCCGCTGTGCGAGCCTCAGGCTACATTGTTCTCCCTTTTAGCATCGTCGGAAATCTACTTATGCGGACTGGACCTCTTCGTTCAAAGCGGGCACCCCCAGATCTCAAAAGTTTCTTCCGAGATGTCCCGTACCTTTGGGCAATTCTGGGGTTGGCTTCTCCTTGCCAGTGCTCTACCTACCTACTGACCAGGGACAGCTCGTTGTTGTCGACATTTGGGGTTTATATGCCTTGTAATACTCTGTTTCATCCCGTTTTACCGTTCTAAAATGAGCTTAGTGATATACGTCCAGCTATATGCTGTACAGCACTCTGTTGGTGCGAATTTAGCATTCTACTCCGTGAGGCCTATCGTACCCGACTCTCCCCGAATTCACAATTTCGCAGATCGCAATTATGAATGGAACCTCGGCGTTCGGACGTGTCGCGGCCAATTACCTCGCCGACATCTACAGTCCCTTCGGACTACAAGTATTTTGCACCCTCGGTACCGCAGCTACAATCTGGGCCGTTTTAGGAATGCAAGCATGAAATCTTCCTTCAATTTTGCCCAACTCATCCGCAACAGACATGATTCAGGGAGTTTAATAGTCGTCAGTATCTTCTACGGCATATTCTCTGGGGCATGGCTGGCCCTTTCGCTTGCTTGTCTAGCCTCGTTGGCCCGCACTCCAGACGAAGTGGGGTGAGTTAAAAATACAATGAGTGGCGATCAGTACTGAAGTCTTCAAGGGCAAGAGCAGGAATTGCTCTGGCCTTTGCCAGTTTTGGCTCCCTCGGCGCAGCTCCCATTCAAGGCGCTCTTCTCACTCGACATTTCCATTGGGTGCGGGCTGTGACATTTGCTGCGGTAAGCTCGTGAAATATGTGCCGTCCGAGACCAAATAGGTTGACGATGATTTAGACAATCGTGATGGCAAGCGCCGTTTGCTTTGTTTTCATGACGATTTTGATTCGGCGCCGCTCTTCGTAAATCAAACGAAAACGCAAACAGATTACTGAGTATATACATGAACTCGACTTCTAACAAGTTAAACACTGCCTGTTCAAAATCTAATGAAATGTCTTCAAGTTCGCTGGAGTATTTGCGCTGTTTTTGTTCAAGTTTTGTTTTGTTATTGACTCCTCTGGCTATTGTTCTTTGTGACACGCTATCCGAACGGCCGTTGCTCAGGATATGTATATCTCAGTGTAGGAGCACCATAGGGCACGAATACTGGTTTCGAGCTTCTAGTTGCCCCATAATCCTAGAAATTGACTATGAGTGTGAGTATTTCAAGTTGAACTTACCGAACCATCGTTGGATTCCACACCTCCTGCACTAAATACCTTGTACTCTCCATCTTGCAGAGCTGTTTCTCGACCTGCTTGCAGAACCTACGATCGCGATAATGGGCGCCGCAAAGATGGAGGAAGAGATGAGTTCTGTCGAAAGGACTTGCAATGTGTCAGGACTTGTTGTGCCATCCGACTGAGTAAGGGCTGGTGTTCGAGCTCGGAGACGATGGACATAGTCAATGCTGTGATCAGATCGTCGCGGGTAATTTCAGGTCCTCTGGCTTTGAAGAGCCATTTACATTTGAAAGTGCTATGCAGGTTAATAGTGAGAGAATGTGTTGTGATTGCGGACGAGACAGTCCTTGTTGAAGCGAGTCAGACTCCGCTACAGCCGCAGGAAAAGCAAAAATTTCTGCAAGTGGAAATTGCGTTACAGATTAACGCGTCATAGTTCTCGATATCCGGTGTGTTTCGCTGCCAGTAATAGGCTTGGGCCATGCATTGAAGAGACAAGGGCCAATGGGTGGCACAAACCTGTCTACAGGCATGGGTACATTCGAAGCAGGCGGCTTATATCGGAAAGTAACGCAGAAGCCGGCTTGTTGGATTAAGAAAGCTAAGTATTGAGTATGAGTATGGTGGTGGTGATGGTTGTGACCCAAAATCGTTTTCCCTCTCTGCTATGACAGTGCAGAGTGAATTCTTCTCATTGGTTCCTCCATCCCAAAGCAAGCCATGTCGGGCCGAAATCAGACGCCCCACAACTTGGAAGCATCGCCCATATTTGGCGCCTAAGAGATGGCCCGGACGACGACGGCGGCCAGCTTGATCGAAATTTTACACGCAGCAAATTCCGCCGCTTCAGCCTACCCACCACTACAGGCTGCTCTGGGGCTGGTGAAATACATCGAGACGAGTATTGATCAGGTCCGGGTTAATTCACTGTCCGCTATTGCCGCTTATCCTTGAGCTAGTTCAAGTCGAATCGGAACGAAATCAAGTCCATCGGGGAATATGCTCAAAGGCTTTCGTTGCAACTCGAACGCTCGGTCGACCTAACAAAGACAAAAGACTACGTCCAGTGCGTGTACAAATTGAGCCACCTGCTAGTTGGCTCAAGTACCAATCTAGAGTAATCGAGGGTATCCATGCATATCTCAAGGGAGTGGCGAAACAGAAGAAGCTCCTTCAATATCTGCATCGCAATGACATCGCCGAACGACTACAGGAATATCGGACTCAGTTGCGGGAAGAATTTGTCGTGTTCAGCGTACGACAACTTGTCATCGCCTTTGGCTTCTCAGCTTCTTCCAGATAACTTGCGACCTTGACATTCAAGAGTCTCAGCGTGAAGCCGAGGCTGCCCGTCAGCGAGATGAGTCGGAGGCCCGCGTCCTTTTGGAAACTATCTCGCACAATATCGCCACCAGTCCAACAGGCATTCGCGAGCTGAACACTGAAATTGGCGATTTAAAAGATCGCAGCATGGGGAATTTAATGTTACAGGAGCTAGAGGTGATTCCGCTACTTCCCTGATATACCTATTAATGAGTTTAGTCGCTTCGAACGTCGCCCACACCGGAAGACTCCTCAATTGAGTCCGAGTCAACCATAGTCGGAGAAAGCATCACATTAACCAAGCTTATTCTCTCCACCAAGTATGTGTTTTGATGGCTCCAGACTTTGGATTGACTTCACCAGCTATCGGTGGTTTCCTGAGACCTTTAACGCTCGTCATTATGCCCGCTCTCAGATCCAAGAAGCACTCATCGACACCATTCGAGATGTTGCTGGCGACTTGCGTGACAGCGGGCTGTTGGCCCATCGGACGAAAGCGGAGCTGGCAAGTGCGCGAACGGGGCTTGAGCAGGTTGACATCGTGTTTCGGGTTCTTGATTCACGACCCAGGGATGCAGTACTGCTTCGTACTTTCCAAAAAGCGTTGTTCAGGGCCGGTGGAATGACAGAGTCGGATATGCTGAATCCAAAGCTAGCCAAAGCAGAGGGTTTCGTGTAAAATCGAGAAGTAATCGAGGAGCAGACAGATTAGCGTAGTGGCGAAAGTATTTAAGGAAAGTTTGAACCAATTCTTCCCCGCTCAAACCTCGCGTTTGCCTCATGCCTGTCAATGGTGATAACACGACAACGCTTATTCTCCAGACAATCTTTTCTGCTCGAGGCATCGCCCGACCATGAAGCATTCAACCAAACGATCTTGCAGAGCATTATTCCATTCACATTGCTGTTGTGGAGTCGAAGCCAGTGAGTGTGTGGAATGATGTAAGTATCGGCGTGTGACGTCTGTCTTTTTCTCTTTCTTCCGCCACCATGGGCCGACTATGCAGGCCTCGGATGGTGGCTGCCACCCTCCTCTGCTCTCTATTTGCGCTCCCTACATTCGCCGACCCAGCAACTCTTGACTTCGAAGACTGTTTCAGCGGGAATTCTTCAGTGAAACTCGCCGTTGACCACGTCTATGGCCAAGTCCTCGATAGCCCGAGCGCAAACATGGGGACCTACCTCAATCTCACTCTCGTTGGAACCAGCCCGCAGGCAATTCAAGGGTTTACGGACTCGAGCTCAAGCCTCGGTGAGTAAAGCCCGTTTGCGTGAAAGAACCCGGTCTCTAACCCCCGCCCAGCAACGTTATTCACCACAACGACTGTCCTCACCCTCAACGTCTGGACGAATAGCTCCTACTTATGTAGGACGATACGACCTCAATCTCCCCTTCCACCACTCGAAAACGCGACAGATTACTGCCCAGTTGCAGCTGGTCCATTCGCGCTTTCTGCATCGATCCCCTGGGGTACAAACCGCCCCTTAACCACCCTCAATACGCGGTTACGAGCTGTCGATCCATTCAGTTCTGAGCTGCTCTGCATCAGTGTTAACACAACTCCCCTTTCTCCCTCCAACGACTCGCCCTATGGCATTGCCCACGCTATATTTTGGTCAACGGTCGGGCTAGCAATGCTGTATTGGCTCGTCATAGGAATCGCACGGATAGTTTCAGCTTGGGGACGGGGAATTACTAGACCAGGCCGGTCGTTATGGGCACACGGTCAAAGTGCTGGGTTTATCCTTGCTAGCGCAATCAGCGGCGAGCGTTTTGCCACATCGCCAGCGCTAATGCGCTTCAGCACGCCATGTCTTCGAGACGTATTATTCCACACGCAATGGTGTGCTTCTTTGGCTATGGTCGCTGTTCAGTGGCCGGCGTTCATTTGTAGGTTCTAGTCTGTCCTCCATTTAGTTCAAAACTAATCACCTTAGACCCAATTCTGGCTCAGACCTCGTGGGCGACTCTCACATATAGTGTGTGCTCCGTTCCTGCTATAACTTGTGCTAAATCTATGTAGACGTTACTTTGACCGACAGACAGCATTGGAACCCTCTTTCGACACTTCCGTATAACCCTCCATCCACATTCACGGACCAGCTAGCAGATTCCTCTTCGCCACTTTACATCAACCCTAGTGTGCCCAACCTGCTTTTCACCCTCCCATCCGACGCTGCATCTGGCATAGCCATGTTCGCCTACACGGTTGGCGTTCGGCCTCAGGCTCTGTTCGAGATCTGTATTATTCTCTTCCTTGGTATTGTCGCCGCCACAATCGTCCTTTCGGCTATCGTTTGGTTTATCGACTTCCTGGGCAGCTTTGTCAGCGGAGCCTTGTCGCACTCACCTGGCATACGCGCCCGTAGTCCTGGCCCACGAGACCTCGAAAATGCTGCATCCAATGAGGACAAGGCGGCGATGTTCCGCCCGGCCTCCCGTCTCACGTTGTCGGGTGGAGGAATGGGTATTGCGACACCGAGAAAGCCGTGGTATCGCGTTCGGACGGAGATCAGCTCTTTCCATTGGAGCGTCCTCCATGGCAACCTTGTCCGCATACTGGTCATCTTCCATTTACCCCTCACCATCTTCGCTGTGTACGAGATGACTCAACCTGCTTCGCTGGCATCAGTCCGAGCTCGTGCCTTGGCTGGATTGTCGTTCGCCATCCTTTCCATCCTGGTGCCTGTCATCTTGGTTGTGCGGGTTACCTTGACCACGACCAACAAGTTGTACGACGAAACTCGGACCCTGCTGGCCCTTGGCCCACTATATAACCATTATCGACATGGTAGTCAGTTATTCGCCAGCTTGCTGTTTGCGACTAATCTGGTGTTTGGGATCGTCATTGGTGCGGGACAGAAGAGTGGAACCGCACAAGCTATCGTGATTCTCATTGTCGAGGTCGCCGCGGCTTTGGTAACCAGCATCTGGCTACCTTGGGGAACCGGAGCGAGTATGGGGCTTATCAGTTTCCTGTTTTGCGTGGCCAGGATCGTCGTCGCGGTGCTTTTAGTTATTCTTACACCTGCGGTGGGTTTTATTTCTGGCTCGAAATAAATAAGGCTAACTTTCCCTCGTCAGATCTCCATCGGTGATGGAGCTGCTGCGTGGGTTGCCTATGGAGTTCTTGTCATACTAGCCCTGGTTTATCTCGCATTGGCCCTGATGCTGGTGATCAAACTCGTGGAGGCCGCGATACGGATTGTTGGCCAAGTTGGGTTCGATAAGAGCACCCATGTCGTCGATAGCGGCCTGTTAGGTGCTTGCGGCCTATTGGGATGTTGTGGGTCCCGCAAACGTCGCGTTCCGAAACATCGCACTCGTCAAAGAAGGACATATGCTGCTGCTCAAGTATCTGATGGTGGATCCTCCACTTTTGTTCCGCCTCCGCTATTGAGTGGTGATTCTGCTTCGAAGAAATCGATCCACTCACAACCTCCTTCCGTTCTTCGGCCAGAGCACGCGTTGCGCCCCTATCGCGAAGACAGCGACGACGAAAGCGGGTACATTATGGGTGCTTGGCAGCCGTTCCCACGACCTGGCTACAACCAGGTGGAAAAGTCAAGTGCTCCTCCGCCGTCTTCTGGGTTTTCGCGGGTTGGAGGTGGGCGAGCACATATTGATGCCCCGTATGCAATTACTCCTGGAGCCCCTGCTCCCGCGACGCCACCGAATGGGTCGAGTTCGAGTCTTGCCTGGCCAGCAGTCGAGGACACGCCGTCCATGGCGAGCGTGCCCCGGAGACAAAGCCCCGAAACGGTCATGACTGGGTCCGGTCTGCCGAGGGGAGCCATGCAACCACACATGCGAACCAAGTCGCAAACTGCGATTATTGAGAATGCGCCGATGCTTGCGTCATCGTCTCGACCGCCTTCAAGACCCCAGCACCCGTCTGAAGAGCTTGAGGATGACTCAGACTCGGATGGGCAGGTGGAGGTTGGACAGCGGAAGAAGAAGCCGTGGTATCACATTCGGAGACATAGGCCACAGAGTGAAGGGGTTCCGCCATCTGCATTCCCAGCTCAGACGGCAGAGCAGGCTGCTTTGGCGACCGGCGATACACCCCCTGGCCGCTCTTTTGTTGTCATTCGCAAGGGACAAGCTTCTCCTGCTCGGTCGCAGCAGCTATCGACTGCCTCAACGCCGACTAGGGCTATGTTCAGGACGGAAAGTGCTGGGGAAATCAGGAACTCGAGTGCGACGTCATGACGTGTATTCCCTGGATTGGAATACTTTCCTGAGTTCACACGGACTTGAAGACTTATCCTACCATCCCTCCTGCACTACCACATACACTATCTCATCCATCGGACTTTTTATCTAGCTGACGTTTTGCTATGACCTGACACGAAAACTTTCAGCGCGCAAATTGTACTTTATAATTTGGCTGTGGCGCGTTGAGTACTACTACTGTTCAATAGCATGTGTATACTTTCCACTGAATCGCCGAGTTCGAGTTACGAGTACTTTAGTAATCGTCCATCACACCCCTCCCAGCGCAAATTTCAGTTCTCTTGTCACGCTCTAAAATTGTAATGCCGTAGCTAAAATGTAACAAATTTGAAACCCCTCGTCTTCAAATTCCATTAGATCATATTTGTAGTCTTTCAATACACTCAACCCTAACCCTAGTAGACATCTGCAAACATTCGTGACGACCATTCCTCCACAAAATGTTCAAGCCTGAGGATACAACCTCAAATATCGAATCTGAATCATGATTTGGTCGCGGTGACCGTAGTGGAGCCAAAGATTGAGTTCGGACGTGTTTGGGTTGTGGTCGCCGGTCGAGAGCCTTTTTTCACCTTCAAGTTAGGCTTCAGTTGTTTGCGGCCTACTACGAAAGCGCGGCTTGGATAGAAGTAAGGTATAGCAACTATGGCACTAAGTACATCAATATATCGCGAGGAATTGTACTTACTATCGACTTTCCAAGGCTGTTCAAGCTCCCAGCGCCAGCCAACCTTTGAAATAGGAATGCTTGTTCTTGTCTGCTAAACGGTAAAGCGGCATTGGTGGGTGTCCAACTCACACTTGTTTGGAAGTGGTTGGACTGTCCAAGTCTGACGCATCGTCAGACATTTCAAGTTGCTTTTGTTTTGTTGTGCCGAGCTAGGGTTGGGTGTGTGGGTTGGGCTCGTATGCACCCTTTACTCATAGTATTGTGCAATTGAGTACTCGTATCCGCCGCGCACCGCGTCGGCCTTTCTCCCAAGTCTATATGTTGCCTGTTGAGTTGTCACAAGAGTGCCTATCGAGTTCAAATGTTTGAGGTAAGTATACCGCTGAGGTTACCGTGTAATGTTTTTATCACAGCAATGGATGTCAGTATGCAAAGCTCATTGACAAGTTGAAACCCAGTACAACTTGTACATCCACCAAATTCAGGATGGCGAGTTGCTTGTTTAGGTCAAATTTTGGTCCCAATCCTAATGATTTTGGTTCTTTGATGCATCGGTCTAGAACTTGTTCTGGGCCTTACACACACACACCTTGGTCCTTGGACGAGATGGTCGGCATGATGCATCCACAGCGGCAGGCACTGCATTCTAGAGCGGCTCGGCGGCTCGAGTCGCGACAGGAAATCTCGGCGTGTCAAGAAAATCTCGGCCAAGTTTGTCAAAAGCTTGCTCAGTTGCAAGGTCTTTCTTAACTAACTCTTTGGTCTCTAGTATTTGGAATGAACATCACAAGCCACCCAAGTGCTACGCCGCTCCGCCTCAATTGCTAGCTGGTTCCCTGAGTACATGCGCGTGGCCATTAGATGGCCATAGATGGTCTAGACCGCGTGGAGATTCTGACTGGTCCACCGGATTGGTCCAGTTACTGACTCTCTACCAGATGCTGTCGTCGCTACTCGGACCATCTAAAATCTTCCTGCGGCATCGTATGCCCGCGCTGATCAATCGAAGTGGAGAGTCTCGCCCCTGGTCTAGGTTTTCAGCCTTGAGCAGTCCTCCTGCTTTCTCCGATCACGAATCGGCTGCAGCTTTTGTATAATACTGCCACTGTGCTCACACTCGTTTCCCTCAAACTCACACAACTCAATGCGCCCTCTACTTTTCATCGCGGCCACTACGGTCGCGTTAACAACTGCAACGCCAACACCAATACACAAACGCTCGACTACCGATCCGGGACAAATATCGGGCAAGACCTTCGACTTTGTTATCGTCGGAGGAGGAACTGCAGGACTCGCTCTTGCAGCGCGCTTGGCGGAGTGGAAGAATACTACGATTGCTGTTATCGAGGCTGGAACGGATGGGACTGAATTTGCGGACCAGATTACGATTCCAGGTGCGGATTGTTCTCCATCCTCTTCATAGTCGGAACTCATTTGTTATCGTCCAGGAATGTCCTACATCCATGGCGTTTCGGGGACAACTCATGACTGGGCTTATACGACAACAGCTCAAGCTAGCGCTGCAAATGCAACGCGAGTATGGCCTCGAGGCAAGGGCCTTGGCGGATCGTCTGCCACCAATGGTGGTTTCTGGTGTCGCGGAAGCGCTCCCGAATACGATGCTTGGAATGCCCTTCAAAATGGTGCCGCCAATGCAGAGGACTGGGGATGGGAAAAGATGCAGGCTTCGATGAAAAAAGTTCGTCTCAAAAGTTGTCAAATCCAGAATCTAAATGATTTTAGGCTGAAACCTTTACTCCAATGGCGGAAGCCAACGCGGCGTTATTGTCCGTCACCCACGACTCCAATGCCCATGGAACAACTGGCCCCATCCAGAGCAGCTATAGCTCGTACCAGTACTCTCACCTTGCGACATGGGTACCAACGATGGTTAACATGGGCCTACCACACACCCTCGACCCGGCCAGCGGCGACAACATTGGTGTATCATTCGTCCCTTCCACTATCAACCCTCACAACGGCTCTCGCTCCGACGCCAACTTCGGTTATATCGCGCCTTATTTCGGAACGAACCTTGTCATCCTTACCGGCTTCCAAGTTACCAAGATCAACTGGAACTCCACAACTTCAGGTGCTGCGGTCGCGGGAGGGGTTTCTTTCGCGGCTAATGCTGGCGGAACCGTTTACCAAGTCAATGCCGCCAAGGAAGTCATCTTATCGTGCGCCGTTTATCCGATCACTCCAGATTTCTTGCTGACCTTTTTCCAGTGGCGGTACTATTGGGTCTCCACAAATCCTCCAAGTCTCTGGAGTTGGGCCCAAGTCGCTCCTGTCTGCTCATGGCATTCAAACAGTCGTCGACCTCCCCGGAGTCGGTCAGAATCTCCAAGAACATCGTTCGTACTTCTCTTTCGTGTCTTTCACACATCTGATTCGCGCTAGTTTCCGCCTCTCTCTATATGCAAGCGACCGACAACGACACCTGGGCTGCTCTTAAATTTGACCAGGGGTTGTGGGACGAACAACTTGCGATCTGGCGGAAGGATGGGACGGGAATGTGGACCTACTGGAACGAAGCGACTGCTTATCCCGCGACCACCCACATGATGGGGACCGACGCCTCCGTTTGGGCTTCCTCTATTAACACCGACTCCGCCCTCTCTATCTCCGCAGCAGCTTCCTCCATGGACTCCACCGTGCAAGCTGGTGTCAAAGCACAGTATTCGATCCTTTCGGGTTGGGCAGCGCATTCCAAAATCGGCCAAATCGAAATGATCTTCAACATGTTTGGCTCTGCCGCATCCATGATTGGAATCCAGCTTTGTCTCCAGCATCCGTTTTCGCGCGGCTACGTCAACATCAAGTCCGCCTCCATTTTCGACTACCCCGAGATCAACCCCAACTACCTTTCGGTCTCGTATGATCTCGACCTCATGCGTACTGCTTTCAAGTACACTCGAAAGACCATCGCGACTGCTCCGATGTCGGAGATGATCAAGACAGAAACCACACCAGGGATGCCGGCTACAGACGACGCGATCAATGGCTACATCGCTAGCTCATCTGGCACGGAATACCACCCCATTGGTACCAATTCCATGTTACCGCTTGAGCGTGGCGGGGTAGTTGATACTCGCCTTATCGTCTATGGCACTAAAAATCTTCGTGTGGTCGATGTCTCGATTGCCCCGTTGCATGTGTCAGCACATACTATGGCCACAACTTATGGCATTGCTGAACGCGCAGCGGACATAATCAAGGCCAAGTATTTCGCAGTTGGCTCCTCCTCATCTTCCCCGAACTCCCCGTCTTCTTCCGGTGGCGCCGGTTCTGGTTCTGGCTCAAGCAATACCAACAACACGACCAACTCGAGCTCCTCGCTTTCTACGGGAACGAAGATCGCTATTGGAGCTGGGTCGGCTGTAGGCGCTATTGCTCTTATCGCGGTATGTCTATTATTTCTGCCTTATTGTCATAACTGACGAAGTCTAGTTATTGGTCTTGCTTCGTCGTCGCGGTAACAAGCGTCAGCAAAACGCAGCATTCGCTGCTTCGACGAAGGAAGAGTGGTATCCAACACAGCCCCATGCGCCATTCATGGCTGGCACTGGCAAACGCAACTCTGCATTCAGCGTCGACAGCATGGCAACTGCGACACATCCCGACAACGAGCAACACGTCAAATATGACCAGCACTATTACCCGCCGAGTCCTATGCATAGCGACAACAGGAGTCTGGGAAGTGGCAGCGAGGCCACGTTCCACGACCATCCCCACTCTCAATACGGCGCTATCCATGCCGACTTATCAACTCCTGAAGTCGCCGCCCTTCACCCTTCACATCCTCCTTCCTCTCCTGGTCCGGGCTCGCCCAACTTCTCGCCTAGCCAGCGGTATACGGACCTGCCGCCGCAACATCAGTACCACGACCAGCCTCGACATTGAGGTACTGGTTCAGACTTTCCTTTCGTTCATTTTGGGCATTAGACGGACTTCACCACTCATTCACACTCTCTCCCGCTCTCCAAACCGAAATGTATTTCAGGATAGTATATAGTATGGACCTTGAACGGACAGCTGGTATATAATTCGTACTAGTAGATGGTATGTAGGAAAACGAGCAGAAAAATCAATGTCTTCTCCCAACCTGTTGTTTGTCACGGTGACTCCGATCTTTTTCCGCCCTGTCAACGACAACCACTCGTTGCCTGCCATTGCCTGCTTTGTCTTCTGTCTCTGCTTCCAATATCTGCCTGATACTACTCCATTTACAACTTTAATGAACTCTCTCGTTGGTGCGTTGTGGCAGATTTGCTTCTCCCCATAGGCTGAATTGCATAGATATCGGCATGGAACTCCCTCTCGGGCTGGAGTCCCTTTACGAGCAGCTCTCGCAGGCACAGCAGAGTCAGATATCGGGATTACTTCGAGAAGGACTCGCCGATGAAGCTGAGCTAGAGCATGAACTGGATGCTGTACTTTCCTTCGTCCGTGATTTGCAAGACCTTCTAGGAAGGCGCAAGAACAACAATTATGTCCTGGCTTCTTTAAATTTCTTGTCTCCGATACGACGCCTCCCTGTTGAGATAATGGCCGAAATTTTCGAGCAATGTGTCCTCGTTGACTCTGCGAAACTCGACTATTTTCCCACGAATTCCCAATTAAAGTGGCGCCACTTCTCCTGTTGAACGTATGCTCTTGGTGGAGAAAAAATTGCCTTGGCTCACCCAGGCTGTGGAGGAACCTCACCTTCCGGGCCAATGAATACAGGGACAGCTTTTAGCCTGGCAATCTGCTGGCACGCTCGGGACAAGCCCCTCTGAGCGTAACTCTCAATCCGACAGGCTCTCCGAACTATCGAGAGACAAGGATAATCCGGAGTATGGGAAATGGGTTCTGGCGATATAAGGTGTGTCGATTGTCAAGCACTAAATTCGCGAGGTCCGAGTCCTGACCACTGACCAGTCAAAGCCTTCCCGAAATATGCCAATTATGTACTCCGATGTCCCTCGCTCGCCAGGCCTAACACCGAAGCATACCCTGCAGGGTTCATCGCTGTCGCTGAGGAGAACTCGATCTCCCTTTTTTCGCCCACTTTCTTGCTGTCCCGTCCTCTTTGTCGGCCTGGTAGTATGCATCAACTTATAGGTGACGCATGGAAAGCGAATATTATTGCCCAAATGAGAAGGGATATCATTGTGCGGGGAGGAGAATTCCGCTATATGTACGGCAACTTGTGGATGCTTGACCGTTCTCCACGCCGGTCAGTGTAACGATTGCCATCTGCTGCTTCCGAGCTCTGTCACGCAGGCTATCCAGAGTTCAGACCATCTGCGATGCAAAAGCACCATCTGGTCGAGAATTGACGCCAAGATTAGACGACATCTACCTTCATTGTCCCCTCTCCAATCTCTTCGCTTCTTCAAACGGGACAAGACACTATTGTATTTCGCCGCATCTGCGATGAGGCGCTATACCTTCTGGTACCCGCTCGATCATCATTTTACCTCACTTGGCTCCTCTTTTCTGGCCGAAAGGCGGTCTTCAGCCAGGTTCTATTAACAACTGTTCAAGCTTGCAGGTCAGGCCACCGTTTGTATACCAGTTTGGAGTAGCGGGCTGAACTCGCAATACCAGGATGACTGGACACACAAATCGACGACGATATCTTATCCAGATATGGCAAGTCACGTGCACCACAGAAAGAGTCCACACCTCGCTCGAGGTGGAAGATCTCGCTTTAGCAAGCGGTACAAGCTGTCCCCCTCTTTCACAACTCTTTCCTTTTGTAAACTCGAGGAGGAAGATCCTCGTCAATCGCGTTTTCTTCGACCGCGGCATTGCGAGGCGTGGACGGTGTTTCTTCGTCGGGGAGCAAGTTGAAGAGATGCGCAGGAGCGGGAACTCGTGGGGGGGGGACGGGTCAAGGACAGGAGGATCTTGGAGGGAGTTTCGACCGCGCGTTTCGAATGATTGGTTGGGCGGCTGGACCAAGTACGCCCACGGGATTAGATACGGAGAAGAGTAGTCGCTTGCTAGTCAAAAGTAATTACGGCCATTGTTACTGCACACATTTGGCTAATCCTGCTTAATCCGAACTGGGAGGCACGATCCTCTGCCGCGCAAACGAGTCCGCCAACAACGTCTTCATGTCCTGTACTGTGTTCTTATTCGGCCCAAAGAAGCCATCGGCCTGGATGTTGCCCCTGCAGGACTAATCAGCTTAACCCTAACAAACAACAACAACTGGTACCAATGGAAAGAGTGGAATGAATCGACCTCGTAGCCCTGTGCCCACAAGTCACGGACATATGTCGTGTTCCACGGCGGGGGGTTCTTCCACCAATGGTCGACCCACACAATCTCCTCGTCGACGGGGAGGATCATGTGCAGCGTCGTGGGCAGTGCCTTTTAACGGTCAGCTCAGTCTGTTGACAGCAGATCACGCACTATCTCCAGGAAACACTCCGTCCGCAAGAAAGTCCCCAATACATCCAGGAAGTCGGCGCGGAGGTGGCCAGGGAGGTACATCGTGTCGGAAGACCCGCCAATGAGTCGATATTCGCCTCCAGTCAAGCCCTCGAGCCGGTCGCGCATATGCTGCGGCTGCCAAAGGTAATAGTTGTAACAGGCGCCGACCCCCATGTGCTTTTCGCTGAGGAGGATGAAAAGCAGCGACAGGAAACTCGAAAAATAACTTACCCCCACCTAGTCATGAAGCGTCAGCAGGAATGCATGTCCCTGGTCAAGCAGACTGACCACCAATAATCCCAGCCAACGCCCCATGCGCGGGACGTCTTCTCGTACCGTCCATATTTCGTCTTGAAGTCATCAGAAATTAGCGCTGCCGGCGGGCGTTTCACTGGGATCTGGTCGACAGTGCCCTCCAATGTTCTGTTACTCGGGGTTTGCGCCGGGTTTGGGATGAATCGAGTTGCGAACGGGCTGTGGTACCATATGTGGTCCTGCGGGACGTTGAGGAGCGCATCGAATGGGGCCCAGAGGTAGCCCGCATAGCAAGGATAGTCTTTGACGGCGGTGTAGAACATGTGGTGAGCCTGTCGGAGGGGGTTAAGGATGGCGAATGCAAACGTCAAAGGACATATACCATTCGGCCTCCCATCTTGAACCACCCGGCATCAAAGTCCTCGTGTGCAGGACGCGGAAGAGGAGGCGGCGGCGGCTGCGCCGAGGTCGACGGACATGCTGAGGCACGGCGCCGCCGTCGGGCACAGGACGCGCGCAGAAGATCGATCGATCGATCGGGACGTGACCCGAAGCACGTGTCCGTGACCGCCCGATCTCCTCTTCCTCTCGCCGCCAACGAACGACAGCCGCCCAAGCGGCCTCTGCCCACCTACCTCCCTGGCCATCTGCGCTGCCGCGACCGGCCGAGCTGACATGCCGGGGCCGCCAACCCGGCCTCAGACGACTAACTACTGGGTTTACAAGGCCTAACTACGGCCGAGCGAGACGGCCAACACCTCTCGTACAAGCTCCTACGTCCCGGGCACCTCCGGTACCCGCCGAATGGAGTCTGCAACAGCTAGATTGGTCAGCGAACTCGGCGACAACGACAAGATGACTTACGCGGGAGGCACTGGCGCCGACGCGGAGGGCGATTTTGACGGCTGGAACAAGGTAAGTGTGTTGAACGAGCAAAGTAACGATTTACTGACTTTGTTTCTTGAGGTTTAAACCAACGGGCAGCGGTTTGGCGCCTGTGAAGCGAGCGGGCAGCGGGCTGGGGTCAACGGGAGCGATATGGCCGGTCTAAGCTGAGGTCAGCGCCGTCAACAACCCGCCTGACGCGAAACTGACGAACATAGCAGCCGGCGTTGGTGAAGGGAGCGCGCAACGGTTTTGGGACGATATTGCAAGTCTCTGGAACGAGGTAAGGGCACAGAATGGCATCTTTGACGGTTAACTGACCGTTTCTCCAGCGAATGGCCTGCGCGCGACAAATCTCGGTCCGGAGACCCCCAGACTGAGACGAAACCGGCCCTTGACGGCGGATGGCGGCGAGCGCGGGCGGTGCGGACGAGTGTGGCGCGTTTTCTGGATGAATCTCAGTCTGCGAAAGGCCGGGACTGAGATTAAACTCACCTTTGGCAAGCGCGAGGGTTTGGAGTTGGGCGGGGCTTGACAGGGTCGGGAGGAGAGCCTGGAACAAAGTAAGCATGCTAAAGGACTTGTTTGACGTTCAGCTCACCGTTGGGGCCCAGATTTGGCATGCGCGACGAGGGGAAGCGCTGCCGCCAGGTCAGCACGCGAAACGGACAGATTGGCGGCATGCTTACCTCTTACAGCCACAATTTGGCCCCGACTTGGCGCTGTACTTCTCAAATCCGAGAAGTATCAAGTGCTGGTGCAAGGTTAGTATGCGAGGCCAAGAACGCGACGACGAACGAACCTAGGGAAGAGTTTGGGGGAAGATGGAGGCGAACGGGCATGGCCACCGTCTGCGGAACAAGGTCAGCGTCGCAAATTACAGCAAAGAACTCACCTTTACCAGTACCAATAGCCCTCGTTTGATTTCTCTCATGTTCTTGGGCAAATCTTGAACAGGTCAGCCTTCCCAGTCGAAGAGAGGAACGATTCACTCACAGTCAGGCTGCGAATGAAGAGTGCGATGAGCGGAGAGGGTGGACGTTGACGGGTGTGGGCACCGCCTGCAAAACACTGGAATAAGGTCAGTGTTGTGAACGAAACGAAGGAACTAATCTTCGCGCGTTGATGCCTTCCGCGCAACTGTGTCAAGATCTGGGAGAGGTAAGCGTCCTAATCGAGAGCAGCGACAACGAACTCACCAATTAACAGGTTCTCCCCAAACCTTCCCAGCAACACAAACGAGCAAGGCTTGAGGAGTGTGTGGGTGCGAGGTCATATCTGGGGACAAGGTCAGTGACTGTGGATAACAGAGCAGATCGGGACTGACGTGTTGTCGCAGATCTATGAGAGCGTAAGTGGTAGATATATATGAGGAGTAGGTAGAGGATCATAATGTAGGTATGGTATATGCAATACGAGCAGTATAACGAGGAGAGCAAAAGTAAAGACGGTGGTAAGTATGTGGTAGAGTAACAAGGAGAAGGGAAGTGGGGAGGGCGACGAGGATAGTGGAAAACAACAGGAGCATACCTTCGGCGACGCAAAGTAAACTTGCACGTGAGTCGGAGTCGGAGCAACAAGGTGGGGGAAGGAAAGAAAGGGCATGCGGGCGTGGGTTGAAGCCCGCGCGGTTTATATACTCGGTCGGGCGTAGATCGGAGAAGCATTTGTGATGGACACACCCGAGGGATCTTCCGTTATCGTCGCGAAGTGTTGACAAGAATGTTGGTTTGTCAACATGAAGCGAGCTATTTTAAGCCGCGCTAGTGCATGGGATTGAGATTTCTGAAAGGCTTGAAGTCATACTTGGCTCAAGTGAAGTCAGTAGAGAGTTCAGTATTGCAAAACATAACAATACACACCAACACAAAACATATCACAGGTGAAGCTCGAACACCCAAAATAACTGGCTGGCGACGCGCCGGAAGAAGCCATCTGTCAAGTGGAGACAGAGTGGTGCTTCGATTCCAGACCCTTGCGTCATGATACAGAATTCCGTGGTGGCGTTGGCAGAGTTTCGCAAATTATGCGCTCCAGCGACGGCGAACTAGCTTGGAAACGACCTTGCTGACTGAGAGTAGGCTCTAAATAACGTCAGGGTTATTTGCAGCCCCGATTAAAACGCACCTCCCGACTTATCGCGGAATATTGAGCAGTTTAATCAGCGGGAATAGCATGCGATCGCGAGCGCGATTCGCATTCGGAACCACAGGGCTGTGTTGGCAACAACCTCATGCTAAATTCTCCTGAATTGAGTTAAGTTATGCGAGCGGCCCGCGACAAATCCGAGCCCTACCGGTTGAATTGCCTGATATGGTGGGGCAGCGTAGTGGTTTGATGGCACCAGAAACCTGCGCGTGCAAGCCCGAGGAAAATGTGGGTGAACTCAGGCTAGAAACGCGTGACAAACCGCATCAAAAGGTGTCCAAACCGAACACAAAAGATATTTCTTGGAAGATTGCAAGAAAAGAGGTAGAACTGCACCAGCTCAAAACCGCAGAGAAGGACCACCAGCTATACCAGGATCCACTTGCAGGCTCGGCCACTCGGGCATTCTTCACATCTCCGCGACCCTGCCTGTCAGGTAATTTTAGATGCCGCCGCACCATTAACGTCATAAACACACCTTCCATTCTCCGCTCTGCCCCCGCCGGCCTTTCTCGACTCCCCGAGCCTCGCAACCGTTGTTCGGTTAAAATTAGCCTCGGGCCCAAGATGACCCGAGATAAAAATAGTGCCCGAAGGCCGTTTGTTGACAAGATGATCCAAGTCACGAGCACCATCACTCCTTGACTTCACTCCACCACCATCCTCATCGTCAACCATTGCCGTCGACTCCATCTCCTGCGCGTTCCTCTAGCAACAACGTCCTCTGCCGCGCAAACGAGTCCGCCAACAATGTCTTCATGTCCTCCACTGTGTTCTTATTCGGCCCAAAGAAGCCATCGGCCTGGATGTCGCCCCTGCAGGACTAATCAGCTTAACCCTAACAAACAACAACAACTGGTACCAATGGAAAGAGTGGAATGAATCGACCTCGTAGCCCTGTGCCCACAAGTCACGGACATATGTCGTGTTCCACGGTGGGGGATTTTTCCACCAATGGTCGACCCACACAATCTCCTCGTCGACGGGGAGGATCATGTGCAGCGTCGTGGGCAGTGCCTTTTAACGGTCAGCTCAGTCCGTTGACAGCAGATCACGCACTATCTCCAGGAAACACTCCGTCCGCAAGAAAGTCCCCAATACATCCAGGAAGTCGGCGCGGAGGTGGCCAGGGGAGGTACATCGTGTCGGAAGACCCGCCAATGAGTCGATATTCGCCTCCAGTCAAGCCCTCAAGCCGGTCGCGCATATGCTGCGGCTGCCAAAGGTAATAGTTGTAACAGGCGCCGACCCCCATGTGCTTTTCGCTGAGGAGAATGAAAAGCAGCGACAGGAAACTCGAAAAATAACTTACCCCCACCTAGTCATGAAGCGTCAGCAGGAATGCATGTCCCTGGTCAAGCAGACTGACCACCAATAATCCCAGCCAACGCCCCATGCGCGGGACGTCTTCTCGTACCGTCCATATTTCGTCTTGAAGTCATCAGAAATTAGCGCTGCCGGCGGGCGTTTCACTGGGATCTGGTCGACAGTGCCCTCCAATGTTCTGTTACTCGGGGTTTGCGCCGGGTTTGGGATGAATCGAGTTGCGAACGGGCTGTGGTACCATATGTGGTCCTGCGGGAACTGCATCAGCCGCGGGACGTTGAGGAGCGCATCGAATGGGGCCCAGAGGTAGCCCGCATAGCAAGGATAGTCTTTGACGGCGGTGTAGAACATGTGGTGAGCCTGTCGGAGGGGGTTAAGGATGGCGAATGCAAACGTCAAAGGACATATACCATTCGGCCTCCCATCTTGAACCACCCGGCATCAAAGTCCTCGTGCGCCATGTACGAGTCGAGAACGACATCATACGAGTGCAGAAATCCTCTGTCTTCGCGACTCGCGGGACCAATGAAGAGTATCTAGGACAAATTGATCAGTCATAAGGAGAAATGAACAAAGAGCAACCCACGTTGGGGAAATACTGGGAGTAAACCTCCCTATAACCCTCGAGATTGATATCGTAGCGGTCGTGGCTGAAGAAAACAACGATCAAAATATCATCGAATGCGTGGAAATCTGGTCGCTCGCCCGGGCCGATGTATGTAGAGGTAATTGGCAACGGCCTCCGGACACAGGTTGTGCTGTTCCACTTGCGCTCGGTCGTATTGTAGGCCGGATCGTGTTGGTGGGGCAGAATCAGCGGCTCCTCTTGCTGGTACCAAGGCTCCTTCGGCTTCCAGAGATATGATCCCTTGGAATGGGGTATCGGAGCTAGACCGCGCGAAATCATCGATGCGAACAGCGGCACAAAAGTGATGCAAACAAGGGTCCAGTTGTACCACGATATTGCCCGTCTGGGCTGTTTGTTGTCGTTGGCTTGCTCTGGTGTTGCAGAAGGTTGCGGTCCATCGAGCAAATACGAAACGGCACCATACAACGCGAGCGCCGTGCCAAATAGTTGAATGTTGGTGAAAGCAATTGGCGTCCAAAAGACAACGTGAGATAGCGCAAAAGCCAGCGAGCTCGACAGCAGAGACAGGACCGCGCGCGTCAGGGGCGTGGATTCTGGATGGAGCAAATCAACGAAGGGGCGACGCATGCTGCAAGCTTACGATAGGTGATGGCCAGTCCCAATAAATCTTCGACAATATACATGCCAAGGCCGACAAAGGCCGCAACCCAGTCGCGGGGAAGAGAACGAGGAGGGAAGAAACGTGTTGTCGCTGGGTAGACAAGAAAACCGAAAAAAGCGGCGACAAAGCTGCTCGCGAAAATGAACTGATTGATGCGATGGAAGCCAGCAGTCGGGCAAAGAGCGTAAAGCTGAATTTACGATCAGCACAGTAACAAAAGAAATGACACAACTACGAACAACAAAGGGGGTAACCCAAAGTAGAGACGAGAAGGCAGCGCTGGTCAGAAGCAGGGAATAGGTTCCATGCGGGTATTGCGGAAGCTTTGCCAAACGATGGAGCAGGCAAACGGCTGCCAACTGGGGGATCGTGAGTATGTCGCTGTTATCTGTGGCAATGAGAGGCGGACCTGTAAAATGACACTGGTCATCTGTCTCAAAGGTGTTCCCTTTCCGACAAGCACATATCCATGCAATGCGATGAATAAGACAGACAAGGCCCCAACTGTGTCTGCCGTGACTTGATTGGAGTATGTTTTTATGATGGTGAGCTGCTGCGCAGTTAGCCGGTGCTGGGCCGACAAGGAAGGATTCATACCAATGAGTGGTGGGTCAAGAAGACAACGCCAACCAGAGCCCCCGCAAAGCTCTTCTGCCTCGGGTTCCAGGCCCATGTGCTTTGCTCTGTTGCACGGTCCGGAGAGTCGGTCCAGCCATCGTCTGTTCTCGATTGCGGCGCCAGAAGCTCTTCGCCCTCATTATTACTCGCGCTTTCGCCATGAAGCCACTTGTCTTGAACTAAGAGCCACGACGTCGTTATCGCAAACTTGATGAGCTCCAACGAGGCAAGGACATGGAACGGCGGGTCATGCTTGCTGGGATGAGCAGGGTCCTTGAAGCCTTCCTTGACAATTCCATGAGCAGTTTGGACGACGACAAAGGAAGTCTGGGGAAGAATCAAGAGTTTGGGTAGAATAGCACATGCCAACACGTACCAGGAGAGCAGGAGAGCATCCAAGAAGAGTCCTAGAAGAAAGTGTGGCCCATATTTTACTTCCTATGCTATTGACCATGAAAGTGCAGAGAAAAGAATCGTTGGACTGCGAGATTCTGACATGACCTGGGATAACATGATACGCGGCACGGTCCGACCGACGAACGCCGCTTGAACGCCGCTAGGATTTGCAACAAGTGGCATCTCGCGTGAATGGATCGAATAGTCGCTCTGGACGAGGAAGATTTGGAAATGGGCGCTTGCTATGGACGTATTTTGGACTCGGAGAAGAAGACTCTTGGGAGCACGTGCTCTCACGTGCTTCAAATCTCTCTCTTCTTTGCACAACAACAATGGCGTTAGTGCTCCCCGCTTGCCATCGCGCTATTAAACGGCATCCAGCGCTCCACGCGATCCTCTGATGCTGGCTCTGAGTCCGTCTTCCTCACCATTGCCGTTTTGGTCAACCGTCCCACTTATGGGTAACCTGTCTGCATAACTTACCGCGGCCATGCGGGGCGGAGGGGGATAGGGGAACAATGTGGACGGTTTAGGACGCGAGATGATCTGTGGGCTGCATGGCGAGTGAATACTTTGTCTTCTTTGCTGTGATTACTCACTTCAGTACCACTCAGATAGTAGTCGCTTTCGGGCCAGCGTGGCGGCTCTGTCCTCCCGCTCTGCATCGCTCTCTGACTCTATCTTCAGTCGCAGTGCATCTTTGTTCTCCGAAGCCTGAAGTCAGTTGGCATCAACTTGAAGCTGTGTTAGCAACTGCTACTTATATCGCTGGGCCCTGGAGTCCATGTTTCCACTGCCACTCCGTCTCCACCTCTTTCTTGCCTGCCTCGGATGCTCTTCAGCGAGCTCTCCCCGCCGCCAGAAAGACCACAAGAAATCGTTACTCCACTCGAATTCGAGCCACCAACTAGTGTAGCGAATGACAAGTCACAACTTGGTTGGCAATGAATCCAAGTCAAGCTTGAAACCCCCCAAGCCTGCACAGTTCTTTGTCTTTACGACGCGGACTGCGGTGTGTGTAGAGCCCCTTACAAACTGATAATCATGACCATTGGGTGCAGGGTACTCTTGACACAAGCCAACCCAAATATGTTTGGCCTGTGCCGCGCGATACGAGGTCGACAATTAGGGACGTGTTCTATGAGACGCCGCTGCTTCGGAATTATGACGTGTTCATTGTATTCTGCGAGTCTACCACCGGGGAATTCTACGGATATGCTCAGTATGTTCTCCGTTGTGACCTCTATGACATATCCGATTAATGTACATACTCCAGGTTTACGGGATTCAGTAGCAGTGGTACTGGAATGTCGACTGATCACAAGTCTGAGTCCACGAAACACACGAGCCTTGGCGGCTGCTTTCCGTCATTTGATCCACCTTCAGCTCGGGCGACAGACTCGCAAAAAGGCACTAGCGTAAAGCTGCAGCCGACTTCAAACCTCCTTTCGCATGCGCCGGAGCTGCGGATGGATATCTTTGAGCTCGGACACATACCATCACTGTGCGGCCGGCGTAACAGCGAGCGTTATGGTCCCCCCTGTGGTGCTCTTCTACCGTTAAGACGCGCCGATAGTCCAACAGATCGCGTTGAGGAACCGCCGGTGTGGCTGCTTGGGGATACTCTCCGTATCATTGAATACGGGGCCCGCCTCAACCTCGAATGGATTACTACCCAACGAATGCCTTTCCGTGAAACATACCGCCTCCGCGATCCATGGGGCCAAACCCTTCTTTGGCGCCACCTGCAACAGTCCGACTACGGGATCGAAATCGACGCCACCATCGGCATGAAGCTGCTGGATATATGGCGCCAATATGTAGAGGAGACAAACAACTTGAAGATCGCGCAGAATATGGCCATGAGCGTGGATAGCCCCGATCTCGACCCCCGGGCAAATACATGGGCGATGCGAGTGCTGAACCTTCCTGGAGACACCACACTTGCTGAGCTCTACGGGCTGTTCATGCCGCAGTCATTTCCCCTTGCAACCGGCAGTGCACTATCCATGACCTTCCTCCCCGCCCCGATATACTGGCACTCCGGATCCGCGCTCGTTTATTACAGCTCTGAAGTCACCATGCAAGCTGCGCTCCAGCGATTCAACGGCTCTCGCTTGCGCCCAGGGGACTCATTCTCTCCATTGCTATTGTGCTTGCCAAGCAATTCGAAGCCGACTATCCCAGTATGATAAAATTATACTCGTTGTTCTTGTCTCGCCACGCAGGCAGAAAGTGTGAGTCGTGATAGGACGGAGTTCGGCGCGATGAAGAAGGCTCAGCATTGAGCTAGGTAAGTCCGTCGACACCAAGTTCAGCGCTGCAATGCTTGGTATATGTAGGAAGATAAGGTGCCGTGCTCCAAAGCTCAAGGACAGCGAAGTATGTATGCTAGCGATGAGGTTTCTTTTCGCGTCTAGCTCTGGCTGGATGCGAGACAAACGAGAGGCGGGCGTTTTTGGCAGACGGGGCGGAGGCAAGGCAGCATGAGCGAATAATTGAAAGATTGTCTTCGGCTAGGGATGGGACGATGTGCTCGGTTGGGAAATGGCCAAAGGTCGATGAGTCACGTGAGCCAATTCTGCTTCTTCCCGACCACGGTCGACCACAGCTCCATCGCCAGCAACTCGTCTCCGCTTGCACGCGCCTCGAGTAGTTACGCATGGTTTATGTTGCTCTGCCCATTGGTAGAGAACATCAGACTAGCTACATGGCGACATCTTCTATTTTTCCGCTCTGGCGCTCCCCCACCACCAATTGCAATGCCGCCTTCAAGTTGACACCCTTTGTACCATGTCTCTCGTCAAGGCTACTCACTCTTCTTCAGCACTGGTGTAGGTTTCGAGCAGCTCAGTGCGTTCTACAACTAGCCAGAGCAAGTTTTTCACTGACGCCTCCGCTTAGCCAGAGGCAGTCTTCAGCACTCCGTATCCGCGGCTCCACGCTTTGGTTAACCCAGGCCAGCCCTTACCAAACGACTTGCCCGCACGATGATGGCCGGGCAATTCCCCCAAAAGAGGGACACAAAATCGGTCTGCAGTAACGGTAGTTACGGTACTGCCATTAAAGATGGACTCTTGCGTGGTTCTCGAAAGGGCAGCGGGTGACAAATGGGTGTGTGGATATAGGTGCGCGAAAACTCGCTCTTCTTGCTCGACATTGGTGATGACGTTCTCCACAGCCTGCTCTTTTTTCGACTTCATTTGCCGTCGCAATACCGGGACCATAATTCCCGCTCTCCAGCAACACTTTCCGTCCGACAGCCTCTGGAACCATCGTATCTATTCTCTTATCCGCCACGTAGGGGGAACGGAGGGTGCGTGTTTGGCTTCCCACTACCCGTTTCCATCCATTGACCAACACTCAGGTTCTCGATGGTCTATTCACGCCATGATAGCTGTTTGGCCATCTCCGCAACTGCATACGGTGCTCATGGTCCCAGCCGTGATGGTGGCCTCACAGGCTTCGACACTCGCGCTAGTCAGTCGACAGAGACATTTCCTTACTCTGCATCGGCTCGAGGAGATTGTGGTGGCCAATCCATCAAGCTACTCATTCATATACGGCTCAACAAGTGCGTTTGAAGGTACTGGTAATCTACGTTTCAGCCCAGCTTCTCTGTCTGAACTTTCTTCTATTTACAGAGCCATACTTCTGTGTCTTGCTATCGGCCCCCTCGCTCACTCCGTTGACATACCCATCCACACACAAGCCGATATCTTGCTCAGAATATGGCAAGTCACGTGCACCCTCGCCACAGAAAGACGTCAATATATCTCGCCCGAGGTGGGAGATCTCGCTCTAGCGATTGTCTCTAGCGACGAAACACGCTATCCCCCTCTTGCACAATTCTTTGCTTCCGACAACTCGACGAGGAAGATCGTTGTTGACCGCGTTTTCCTTAGCTGCAGTACTTATTCCGAGGCGTGGACGAGAAAAGTGGGAACCTGAAAGATGGGCAATCCGAATTCAAGGTTTATGTACATATGCACTAGTAAACCCGTAGGTAAGATGACTTATATAAACTTTTGTTTATGGCAACAAACCGGCTAGACGTTCCAAACACATCTGAATGAATCTGAATAATTCGCTCAGCTAGTACCTACTGGCAGGAAAACACTGCCTTCGAGCTCTAGGACACGTGAGCCGAAGAGGCTCACCAGATAAGTCAGTCGCATAATAATCATCAAGCGCGGGCTTTGAACAGCGTCGAGACAGAGGAGTGGCTGTGCCGTACACATCTTGCACCCACCCCAGTAGTCGCTCAATGTTAATGGAGCTCTTGCCCGTCGACGTCCTCTACATCGTTCTGGACAACATGCTACTAGATACTACCCGGAATCCGGACCCTCGCCACGAGGACTGCACACGAAGCTGTGCCATAGCTCTTTCCAGCACATGTCGTTTGCTGCGCTTCAAAACCATCCCCTGGTTATTCTCCGAGCTGTATAACTGGCCCCAGAGGGCTGAAAGCCTGTGGCCGCAGTCTTTGTGGCCTCATATCGCGTGCGTTTCCCTTCAAGGTTTAGTGGTTGAGCTAAATGCCTGATTCCGACTTCCAGGAAACTGCATATCCGGGACGAAACTGTCCGTAACAAGGCTCGGATCTCTATATCAACCTCCTTAGCCGGGGCCACTGAATCCATGCCATCTTTGACCACTGTCACCCTACGATTGAAAACGACAATCCCGAACTACTTGCTTATCTCGTTGTCTAACTGCGCCACACTTTTCACGTTATCTCTCCACCAAGCATGCTTGGATGGAGATGAGTGGCCACAAAGTCTTCCGTTCGCTGCTCTGGAAACCCTCACTATTCAATATGGCGGAATTTGGGGTGTGCGTCGGAGAAGAGGCAGCTCTTATGACCCGGAACGGGAGCAGCGCAATATTCACCAGCTCTTAAAAGCCGTCTCCTCGCATTTAATGAATCTCACGCTATCTGGAGACTTTCTGTCCGACAACTTCCCCGATATCAAATGGGTTGCATTGACGAGTTTCGTTGTTACCGAGCATCCTCCTCGACCGCACATTCCAGCAGATCAACTTGTTAGCAACATGCCTCATTTGCGCAACCTGGAACTACTTTTCACACCAAACCATGTACTGGCAGACTTCCCCCCATTCAATATAGGAGGGAGAACGCAAGCGCTACCGTCCAAGCTGTCGTCATTATCGCTCTCAAATGTCAATGAGCACGACCCCATTTTCTCTGCGATTCCTGACTGCATTACCACACTCCGTCTGCTCGCTGTAACAGACTTGTATCACCCGAAAACCCGTTATTCAAACGCTTACTCGCACCGATTACTACTTGATACGCGCCCATTGGCAAGTCCCCGCGCGGAATCTGCCCTCAATCACATCCACAATCTTGCTCTTCTGACCTCTTTCTCGGTCGCATTGTACGATGCGCCACCGATGGGAAGCCTCATCAGGGAAATCGCCAACAAATGCCCTGCTCTGCGTGAACTCGAAGTCCGCTGTTTGCCTCTGAACACGCATATGCTTCTATCTATGATTGACTTCAAGACTGTGAGTGGTAGTAGGTCTCTTTCCGCACCTGGCTGATGGTTCTATCCAGGACAGCGAGCTCCTTCTCGCGTTGGGCGAGCTGCGGGCGCTTACACATCTCACATGGTTCGTCAGCACCCATTCATGCGCGCAAAACCCCGGCCCACCTGCCCACGCCGCGTACAAACTCTTCAGCGCCCTTCCCCAGCTTCAGACGGTCGTCTATAAGTTTGGTAACTGTTACGATGTCAGCTTGTTCTCTCCCGTTGTTAATATATGGCACCGGGAACTACTCGACGGGCCGGAGCCAGCGCGGGTGGTCGGGGAGCTGGTCAACATCCCAGTTTCTCAGGGTGAATATATGCAGAGGCTTACCGAACTTTGGCGTCAGAATCCAATTATCGATACTTGATCATGCTAGTATTAACTACTTTCTGCCAGTGTGTGCAATGAATCAGAATAAGTAAGTACACTGCTTAATGGTCGCCTTACCAATGGTCAGCAGAATATCAGACGCAGGTGAGGATCGCAAAGAGACTGCGGGGACTATTGCAAGCCTTCATGATCAGTCGCTTCCAGTAACACAGACTGCTGGAAGTCGAGCTTGAAGAATTGAGCACGGAGCAAGGAGCGAGGATTACGATTTACGAATAAGAGTTGCATGGCTTCATATATCTCAATGCCTCATTGTCATCGGACTTCGTCCGGCGCCGCCTGATGAGAGCTAAGAGGCAGTGTTTTCCTGCCAGTGGGCACTACCCGTCGCAAATTGTCCAGATTCAATCAAGTTCAGACCGTCTAGCCGGTTTGTTGCCATAAACTTTTGTCAATACAAGTCATCTTATCTACAGGTTAGTACTATAGCATGCTTGCAAGCCCTGCGTTCGAATTTCCCCATCTTTCAAGTTCCCGCTTTTCTCGCCCACGCTTCAGAATAAGCACTACAGTTAAGGAAAACGTGGACAATGGCAATCTTCCTCGTTGAGTCGGAGAAAGGAAAGAATTGTGCGAGAGGGGGATAGCGCGTTTCGTCGCTAGATACACTCGCTAGAGCGAGATCTTCCACCTTGGGCGAGATATGTTCTTTCTGTGGCGAGGGTGCACGTGACTTGCCATCTGGACAAGATATCGGTTTGTGTGTGGATGGGCACGTCTCGACGGAGCGAGCGAGGGGGCCGATAGGAAAGCACAGAAGTATGGCGGTGTAGCTAGAAGAAGCTTCAGACAGAGAAGCTGGGTTGAAACGTAGAGTATAAGTACCTTCAAACGCACTTGTCGAGCCATAAATGGAAGGGTATGTAGTCATATCTGCATTGACCACCGCAATCTCCTCGAGCCGATACAGAGTTGGGAGACGCCTCTGTCGACTAGCCAGCGCGAGACACGAGGCTTAGCTGAACTGCGCGATTCTGCTGTCGAAGTCCGTCAAACCACCATCACGGCTGGGACCATGAGCACAGTAAGTGTGCGATTGAGGAGATAAAACAGCGGCGAAGAGACCTCAGGAACTTGAGTAGTTGGTCAATGGACGGAAACGGGTAGTGGGACGCCAAACACGCACCCTCCGTTCTCTCTACGTGGCAGACAAGAGGATAGATATGCTGGACCCACAGGCTGTCGGACGGAAAGTGTTATGGAAGGGCATGTCCGGGTAGTGCGACTGCAAACTTGAATGAAGTCGAAAAAGAGCGGGCTGGGGAGAATGTCGGCACTAGTGTTAAGCAAGAAGAGCGAGTTTTCGCGCACCTATATCCACACCCCGGGCTGTTCGTTCACCCGTTGCCCTTTCGAGAACTACCCAAGAGTCCATCTTGGCAGTACCGTTTTGGTACCGTTACTGCAGACCGATTTCGTGTCCCTCTTTTGGGGGAATTGCCCGGCCATCGGCGTGCGCGCAAGTCGTTTGGTAAGCGCTAGCCAAAGTGTGGAGCTGCGGATACTGGGTGCTGAGGCTAAGCCGAGGCGTCAGTGAAAAACTTGCTATGGATAGTTGTAGAACGCACTGAGCTGCTCGAAACCTGAACTAGTGCTGAGTAGGAGTGAATAGCTTTGACGAGAGACATGCTACAAAGAGTGTCAAGGCGGCATTGCGATTGGTGGTGGGGGAGCGGAAGGATAGAAGTTGTCGTCATATAGCTGGTCTGTTGTCTAGCAATGGCCAGAGCAGTAGAAACCACACGTAACGACTCTGCAAGTGCAAGCGGGCACCGGAGAGTCAGTGGTGACGGAGCTGGGGTGGCCCGGGTCCGTGGTCGGGATTCGGGAAGACGCAAATTTGGCTCATGACTCGTGACTGATTTCCCTTTCTCTGAGGGGACCGTGTAGGTAGCAACTTAACCTAGATTGCAACCTGTCATAGATTAGAAATGCACTGTACTTAGGTCGAAAATATCTTGTATAAACCTGACTTAGGTTGAGTTGTTCAACCTAGGCCGCTGGTAGCATTTATACCTAAAATGTACAAATTCAACCTATGTGTTGTCCAGGGTTGTTTGGTTGGAATGCAACCAATAGTGCGTGGATTGTATCTCTTCTCAGCTTATCATTTCTCTCAATTGACAATGGTTAAATAGTATATATATATCGGCCTACATGCTACCACAGTATATCTAACCAACCCTCCGCTGATGATATCGATGGACCCTCGTATCATCGCTCGCGCGATCGGGTTTCAAAGCAAGCGCGCAGGCGTACGCGTCACTTGAAGACCTTCACGGTCCCGCATGGCCGCCAGCGTGATGTCGACGCTTGATGTTCGCTGTCGCAACAGGCAGTTTCTATTCGCGCATGCAGATTCACTGGGTGTCGTTGACAAACGGTAGAAGACTGAATATGTGGTCTGACAACTCACCGGCTTCACATCGGTTGATGACTGGTGTTGCTGAATTTGGGGAGCGGAACGTATGGTGTTGCTAGTAGAACGAGGAGGGGTTTGAGAGGAAGTGTTATGACGCTTGAAGATGGGATGAAGCGTCAGCCCTGAATGCATTGAGTGGGCTTGAGGTGCTTGATACGTGTCGACGTCTTGAGGTTGTTGCTTGAAGCAGCTTGTACTTGATTTGATATCCATGGGCTTGATGTGGGTGTCTGTGCATTGTTTGCCGGAGATAAGGCCGGGAGTTTGCTGGCTCAGGACGTAGGGTGAGGCCGCCGAGATGGAAGCAATGGGAGACGTGTGGGTGGGGGCCTCCATGACACGCAGGATCCAGGGGCGAATCGCTTTGTGACACGGGGCAAGAGGGGAGGCGGGAATGGCAAGAAAAAGAAGGCGGACTCGCACTTTGGAGTACCGAGTGAGGCCACAATGCGAGCAGATGCTGATCCATTGAATTCTTGAGCAGTGCTTGGGTGGTCAAGGTTGTATGCACCAGAGATGGTAGGGGAAGCGCTTGTTATCGGAGAGAGGGCCGCGACGTTGAGTCTGCCATGAAGGCCGAAGAGACAACCAACCACTGTGACTGACACGTTGTGTCACAAGTCCACGCTTGTCCGTCACGTGCTATCAACAATGCATCTTCGACCCCGTTTACATCCAGTAGCGCATGAAGGCACTAACCCTCCGTCTGATACCATTCTCCAAGGATAAAAAAGACAGGAAACCGCTGTATCTGGCCGATGCAAGCGAATGTGATGAATAACAGGTACGTATCAGTCTCTCACGCTCAAGCCATGCTCACTTCGTTCCTCGACCAACCCATTACTCGCTAGCGTCGCTGTCGTCGTCTGCCCCACTAGTACCTTGGGCGCCAGCCATACTGTCTTCGTCTTCACTGCTGCTTTCAATGCGCAGTTTCTCCTGCTTGTCTTTCGACTTCTTTTTCTTCATTGCCTTTTTCGACGCCAACTTGACGGTCTTCGCTTTCCCGATGGTCCCAGCACGTCCCCGTGGCTTCGATTGGTCGCGCTTTGCGGCGTTAGCCTGGAGGTGGTTGTATTTCTCCGACCGGACAAGCAAGCCAGCTTTGTATGCCTGGTTGCGTTTACTATGGCAGTACTGGCGGAGCAGCTTCTCGCTGGCCCAGTCATTCTCAAAGCGCTCCAGATATGGATGGTGCTTGCGCATCTGAAGTGGCTAGTGGTGAGAAATTGTACTTCTCCTGGCCAAATAATGACGCACCAGCAGGAATGCTTTTGTCTTGTAGTCCGGATGGATGTCAGCCCAAGCCTTATGCCAGGGTAGCTGAACCTGGGCTGTAACTTCATGACCGGTGCGCTAAAATAGTGTTGCAGATATCACAAGGGGAACACAGAGACGCACGACAATGGCATTGTACTGGCCGACGTCTTGTGCGTCCTTGGGATTGAATCTCATCGCAATCATTGTTGGCATGCCCGATTTCGGGGCTGGAATAAGAGCCTTCTCGGCATCATCCTCGTGGGCTCCAGCAGTGTTTTTGGCATGCTGGGCGGCTTTCTTCAAGGTTATATTCTCTTCACGAAGACGACCTTGCGGAGAGGTAAGCAATATTTCGTGATTTATGTGACAACTTACCGACTTCCTGTGCCCAGTATTGTGCCTCCTCCTCGATGCTGAGCTTTCCTTCGATGTCTTTCTTTAAATTTGTTCCATTGACTTCCACTTGTTCAGTGTTCTTTGATGCTGGGGCGGCATCGTTCGTACTTTGGGTTGCGATAAGCTTTTGGAGCTTTGCAATTTCCTCTGAGGGCAAGTACATCCTTGTCAGCGGAACAACAATAGTAGCTGATCACATACTAGCTTGTTGCTCATTCTGACGCGCATAGCTAACAATCTCCATCGTGTTCGTCTCCTCCAGATGATACTTTGTTGTCAACAATTCTTCAAACCGTTCGAAGTCGCGCCAAAATGCCTTGTCGCTCATCTGGACGCCACCATCATCATCCTTGTTCGCATTCGGTGCATTGTCTATTGGGACTAGTGGTGCTTTCGACGCGTCCTTGGTCGACAGTGAGTCGGTTTTCTTCGTACGGCTTTTGCCACGTTCAGGGGCATTTTTTGCTAGTGCAGCTGCTTTCGTAGGATCAACTGGCTTGCTTGCACTCAGCACGAGCTTGACCGCTTTCGCCATAGTAGGATGATGGACTGGGAAGGGAATGAGAGACTTGTCTCAGACTTTGTAATCTGTGACAACGGAATGTGATGTTGTTTCCCCTCTTCCTTCTCAAACTTTCTAGCGCTCGTTTTTGAACTCTGCATGCTTGCTATGTCAACCAATCCACCAAATGGCAAAGTCTGGTGCAGCCACTGCAACTCGTGGTGTACCCGACGCCGAGAACGTGAACATCGGCGCCTTGGCTATATTCCCCATCCTGCCTTGACTGACGTCGACACTGATCTTCCACCTCGAATGCTCGTTTCTGGCCCTAATTCAGAGCCTGAGGATGATAATTCTCCAATGGCCACTGATGGTATAAATGAGACGGAGACGCCGA